ATGGTAGCAATGTCACTAAGGCAAATGCTTCGGATGGGGCCAAGGGCTGCTTCGCGACACAGCTGCGTCATATCCGCCCCCGAATACCCCTCTGTTCCCTGCATCACTTTCTCCATCTCATCTGCTATTAGCTGACTTTTCTCACGGGACATGAGGTTGATCACTATCTGCCGTCGAGCCTCAGCCTCTGGGAGAGGGATGTAGAGTCGCTTAGCCAGGCGACGACGGGCTGCTTCGTCAATCTCTTGAGGCCGGTTGGTGGCACCAACCACAAGGATGCGATCTTCTGCTGAGGTGGCAGCTCCATCCAACTGGACAAGAAACTCAGTTTTAATTCGACGGGATGAGTCGTGCTCTCCGTCTGTGCGCTGAGAAAGAAGGGAATCAATCTCATCGATGAAGATGACTGCAGGCTGGTGACACCGAGCGATGGCAAAGAGCGCCCGTACCATCTTCTCGCCCTCCCCGACCCACTTTGAAGTGAGCGACGAGGCGCTGATGCTGAAGAAAGTGGCTCCGGATTGGCACGCTATACACTTCCCTATGAGAGTTTTACCAGTGCCTGGAGGACCAAAGAGAAGGATGCCTTTAGGTGGACCTCTAAGACCGGTGAAGATATCAGGCCTCAACATTGGCCACACTACAATCTCTTTGATTGTGGCTTTAGCAAACTCTAGGCCGGCAATATCATCCCAAGCTACGGGGGGGCCGTGGTCCATGATCTCACTCATGATAAGTTCAATGATCTTGGGCTCAAAGTTCTTTAAACGCTCATCAACAGGTTCCGTGTCTTGTGGTTTGTTGTCCTTCGAGTAACTCTCTTCCTCTTGCCTTGGCATGGGAGAGACGAATTTGGAGGTTGCCCCACGAGGCCGTTGTGCCCCAAGGCATTTCTTGGAGATTGTAGCAAAGTTGGCCCCAGAACCTCGCTGGCCCTGATGGGAATGTTTTTTTTGCTGGTCAAAGATGAACTGCTCTCGTGCAGATCTAAAATTAGCACTGACGCCCTCTTCTCCTCTCCGTCCCCTCCCTCGCGGTTCCTGCTCGCCTTGTGATGGGAATGAACTTCTGTTGCTTTCACTTCCTGAGCTGTAGAAGTTCTTCCTCTTGGATGGGTTTGTGGAAGAAAAGAACACTGGCTGATTATGCACATTGGACCCACTTGTGCAACCCAGATTAGATTGAGACACACTAGCATTGCCTGTGGAAATTAAATAGTTATGGCCAAACATAGGCGATCCCATTGGAGCTTTTGGAGCATTTTGTGCCAGGGTCAAACGTGGAAGGGCTCCTTCAAGTCCTCTGGCCCACTCCGCAGCACCGCTAAGTGGGTTACTGATCCCCCTTCCCATCTCAGCTCTGGGTGGAGGCGCAGAGGGCCAGTGAGCCAGAGGCTCTCGTCTAAAACCAGGAGGACCAGAGAGAGCACTGCCTTTCTCCCCACACCCACCGACCTCACCACCAACAGTGATGTTAACATCTGCCGGATCTACTGGGAGAGCGCCTTCTTTTGACCCAGCCTGCATCATTCTTTGCACGCACGGCAGATTGAACACATTCTCGGACGTTAGGGATGACTCCCATTTGTCGCTATAGTTCTTTTGATTGCGGGCCAAGTGCAGGGCACTCTCTGCATAGTTGTTTAGCCCGGTGCGTGGGTCGTCTGAGTCCAGGGCTGAGGCGTACCGCTCTGAGTAGGTCCTGAGCAGGCTGGCAGCTCCAGCCGGAGAGAGCTCAGCACTCGCCCATGCATACTGAATGGACAGGATGTGTGCCCGATAAGCATCGGCCGTCTGTTCAGGTGTACAAGAGCCAGACGAAATGTCAAAGGACCTCCTCTGCCACTCGTCCAGGTGTGCTCTGCTCATGCCTGGCCTGCTCCAGCCTGGGTAAGAAGTGGGCACAGGATCAATTAATAATGTATAAATGTAGAGAAGTACCACACAACAATTGGGCTATTGAAGGGTGATGATGATAATGCAGGTGAAATAATGATTTTGCAGGCAATATAAAGTTAAACAACATTGTGAATTTCAATATAACTTGAATCCACTTTTTATGTGCCAATTAGGTTTCCTAAAGCTTGCCTTTCCAGTATGAGAGCTTTAAGACAAAAGCATTTTAATGGTGTCTCTAATTTAAACTCCAGTTACAAAAACAGTGTTACAATCAGTGTGCTTTCTTTAATTAACTTCTGAGATCCAATGAAATTGTGTGTTTCAGTGAATCGAGTCAAAACTCCATGACACAGTTTTTATGTATTAAATAAACTACATAGTAAATACCCATGTTTATGATTAGGTAATTATACTGGTGCATATAATAAAAAATAGCACTCTTACCTATGTTCATTTAAGAAATGAACAGTGTGGAAAACATGCCTTGATCAGTTTAAACTGTATTATTAAACGTTGAATCCCTTTCAGACAAAATACATAAATATTGGTATATATCAAATATTGTCAAAAGGCAGAAAAGTATTGAGATTTTTGTTGCTGTATTTCTCAGGCCTACTGTCTTGGTGAATGAGACGATCAGTTAAAATATTATACATAAAATATTAATTACGAGAGTAACCAATAGATTGCGCAGGAATTGAATATAACTGTACAGAATTAAAAAAATAAATATACATATATAACCTCTTTTATTGCCTTAAATCCAAGATAAAGTTACATATTTAATTCCAGTGTAAGTTTATTAGTTCCTCTCGTTTTCGTTCATTCAATTTGTAGAGAGAGAGCGCATAAGAGAGAGTACAAAGTTCAGAACCAGTCGACTGAATGTTTCTGATGATCTGAAAAAAATTCCAATAAAAAAAGTTTCTGCTTTAAATGTTTGAAATTAGTTTTGTAGACAACTATGAAATTCATATGTATAAAAGTCTGCAAAACGGTTGTAATTCTTTAAAAAAAAATATTGGGGGATGAGTTAGACCAGATAATGAAGAAACAATCAGTCAAAAGCAGAGCATAGATGTGAACAACTTCATTTGTGTATGAAACCTCATGAACTTGGTTAAAAGAATGGAGTGAGCAGAGCTCAAATATAAGCTAGATTTTATTTGTTGATCTGTACACAATCCCTATAGCCTACTGTTGTGTTATTTCATTGATTTGACGACTTATTATTTTAAAACGTGAATTGTGTTAAGAACAAAGAATGAGATGTGTGACCAAACTTCTGAATGGTAACGTTACTTTAACTATTTCACTTCATACCAATGCTACTGTATGCGACAGAAACGTGATAGTCGAAATCCACATTATCCATATAATGATCGTATTCGTAAATAACGATCTTACGAATAATGTCTCAAGGGGTATCAACACATATATGGAATATGTGTAGGACGTTCAGATAGAGAGAACAACGTAGCTTTATCTAAAAACAGAACGTGAGCTGACAAGCTGGAACACAAATCACAAATAACTTACAGCTTCAAACACTCACGTGTGCATTTATTTTGGGAGAGGAAAGTTGTAACCTACCTCTGGGTTAAACGTTTTTCTTGTGTAAATGCTGTAAGGTTCAGCAACACCTGAAAATCTAAACAACGATACGGAACAAAACAACAACCATAACTTTGACTAAACCTCGCGCCTCCTATATTTTTCTGAGCAGATGTGCGGCGCGCGCACCAGCAACTTCCGGCTGCTCAGTAATAAGATCGCGCGCGCCATCGCCTGGAGAAAGACACTTAGTGCGTTTATTTAAGGGCCTATACTAAATGTTCGCGTTTTTCTTTTTATTATATTTTATTCGTTATATTGATCTATCTAATGCCATTTGTAAAGCCTAACACTGAACAAAAGACAGGTAATGTAAAAAATTATGATTCTTGCTCACACAGACTTAATAAAACTAGACATTTCAACTGAACCCATGCCGTGGTCGTTGTAACATTCCACTTGCTAGACTTTATTTCAATATATTTATTCAAATATATAGTTATTGTAAATTTTAAATGTATAACAGTCTCCCCTATTGTAAAAAAAAAAAAAAAAATTATGCACAAAAAAACCCTTAGAGAACCAAATCTTAATGAACAATTTCATGATTGTGTCATACCTTTGTGAGGGTTTAACCACAGCTGACCACATGTAATACCTTTTTATTAGCAAATATATTTTTAAATTCATATGTAGCCATATATGTGTATGTTGACTTCAGAGATTCCCAGGAAAAGGATCCACAGACATTATAAATATATAGGCCTATATAAAGTAGCTTACTCAGCCAGTGCCTGAAGTGTGCATTCACTTTGTGAATTTGACATTTTGTTCAAGCCTTTATCAGGCAGTATTTTATATAATGTATTCTTATATTGCAGCATGTTTAAAAAAAAAGTGCTGTAGTAACTGACATTTCAACATAACTGTTAGCAATTTTGCTTATGTTTTTATGGAAGGCCACTTCTGACATAAAAGAAAAAAATCACGTTTTGGTAAATCATAATTCTAACATTAAAGTCTTATGAGATAAAAGTAGATAGATAGTAGGCTATCTATCTATCTATCTATCTATCTATCTATCTATCTATCTATCTATCTATCTATCTATCTATCTATCTATCTATCTATCTATCTATCTATCTATCTATCTATCTACTGATAAAAAGTCGAAATTATGTAATAGTAAATCAGAATTATGAAAAGAATATAATTATTTCGACTTTTAAGCTCATATCTATGCCTTAGTAACTTTTGATGTCATAGTTGACTTTTTTTGTTATAATTATGATTTACCAAAACTTTTTTTTATGTGGTCGAAATGGCCTTCCATAATTTTTGCTCTGAAAATCATGAAAATTGTTTGAATGAAAGCCAAAACAGGATACACGCAGTATGTTGCTAATTATTTGTAGCTAACACAGACTATATACTGACTTTATCATCCGCAATATCAATCGTGCAGTTGAAAATCAGCACAGCTGTGATGTTAGTCCCAAATGTAACATAAAACTACAATACCCACAAATCTGTGCGGCGTGCGTGCGTTCACTCCACTCCCAGCGGTACGTCGCATCATGAATGTGTTGGGATAAAAGGCTTCAACTGGGGATTTAAACTGATGTCTACTGTCTAGACGAGTACACAGGGAGCGATGAATTAAATGCATAGCTATATATAGTCGACCGCTATTCTTGGACTCTGTACTTGTAGCGTATTGCTGGATTTTGTTTTGTAATATTTTCTGTTCATAGACAATCATGAAGCTAGCGTAGACTGTTAGCTGCGAGAATTCAGAAGCCAAATCCTACAAGAGTCACACCCTAATATTCAATATCCTCGCGCCGGCCACGCGACTGCGGGTACAGATGCCCGACCCGGGAGTTCGGGAGTATAGCTAGATAATTTCTTATAACGATATTGTTTTTATTTGTGCGAAACAACTCAGAAGGGAGGTCATGTATGTCCGGTTTCAGTCTACTTTGTTGGGAGACAGATAACGTTAGTCGGCTAGCTAGTGTGTGTGATAGTCAGCAGAAGACAGGAATATGAGTTCACCAATGTACACGTTTGTTTTGAGAGATGACAACAGTACTGTGTATGCTGAGGTCGCCAGGATCCTCAGCTCCACTGGAAAATGGAAACGACTGAAGAAGGACAATCCTCGGTTTAATTTAATGCTGGGAGAGAGAAATCGGCTGCCTTTTGGACGACTGGGTAAATGATTTCAAGAGCTGCGTATTTGACATGCATTTCCAACTCAAAATGCAATAATGATATGATTGTTTTATAATCCCATGCTGTTTACACATTTCTAAATTAAGTTTAGAGTTTCAGCAAGTTAATTAATCTCATCTAACCCGTGCTTATTTTCAGCTTTTTGGAGACTATAGACAGCACAAGCTGTTAAATTTATGATAATGCACGATAAAACAATGCACTGCGGTGTCCAGCAGCAATAACCACACAGATTCAGCTTTATAATGCATCCCAGTGGATCTGTATCACTGTAACTGTGTAGTAATAACATGTAATAACATTGACATTAACTTTTTTCAACATAAGTTTTAATATCAGTATTTTATCATTTTTTATAAATTAATTAATAAGTGCATGTGCTTTTGTAAGTATATACATACATACACACACACACATATATATATATATATATATATATAACAAAGTTATTGTCAGAAACTGTGATACACTACCATTCAAACGTTTGGGGTAAGATTAAAAAAAAGATAATATTTTTATTCTCCAAGTATGCATTCGATCAAAAGACACACAGTAAAGAAACTTAAACAGTAAAGAAATTTATAAAATTTCAAATGAATGTTGTTCTTTTGAACTTTCTATTTATTTCTACAAAAATATTAAGCTGCAAAAAAAAAAACTGTTTTCAACATTGATAATAATAAGATCCATTTATAATAATTGAGCACAAATAATAATTTAGTGCCAAATCAGCAAATTAGAATGATTTCTGAAGGATCATGTTACTCTGAAGACTGGAGTAATGATGCTGAATGTTCAGCTTTGTCATCACAGGAATAAATCACATTTTAAAACATATTAAAATAGAAAACAGTTATTTTAAATTGGAATTTTACGTAACATAATGGTTTGACTCTATTTTTGAGCAAATAAATGGTGAGCATAAGAGACATTTTTCAAAAACAATTAAAAGAAAATCCAAACATTTAGGGCTAGTGTGTACATAACTATTGGTGGTGAACTACAAAAATGTTGATTAAAGTATTTTTAGCTGCAGGACAGTGCCGTCACCGCTCAATATTTCGACATTTCAGTGTCAGATACCCTGCTGTGTCCTCTACAGGTCATGAACCAGGACTGATGCAGCTGGTGAATTATTTCAGAGGAGCCGATAAACTCTGTCGCAAAGCATCACTGGTCAAGTAGGCTGTTTATTTATTCATACCAGATGAATGATATAACCATAATTGATGTTAATGAGAGCTTTGAAGTGATGTTAGGAATGATACTGTTAAGCTAATGCTTACTTAAGTAATGCCTTCAAAGCACACTTTCCTTATTCATCCATGCTATTGATTTATAAACTCTGCAGTTCTTCAGTTGTGAATTCTATTTATATAAGCATGTCTGTTGTTTAGGATTATCAAGACCAGTCCAGAGTTAAAGGACTCCTGTAACTGGTTCCCTGAGTCTTACATCATATACCCAACCAACCTCAACACCCCAGTGGCCCCGGCCACCAATGGCATCAGCCACATGAAGAGCAACCCAAAGACAGATGAGCGAGAGGTCTTTTTAGCTTCATATAACTCCAGAAAAGAAAGCGGAGAGGGAACGGTGTGGATCGCCAAATCATCGGCGGGTGCAAAAGGTACGAATTTCTATCGGTCCAAAGTGGTAAGTTGAAAGAGAGGTGTACATCTTTGTACATGATTTGATAGTATGATAATGTCCCTCCCTATCTTTGTTCAGGTGCAGGTATATTGATATCTCATGATGCAAACCAGTTGCTTGAGTTCATCGATAATCAAGGCCAAGTGCATGTCATTCAGAAGTATCTGGAAAAACCTCTGCTGCTGGAGCCGGGACATCGCAAATTTGATATAAGGTAAGATGAGCTATTTAATCCTTTGTGCTGAATGTTTTGATGCGATTATGTTCCATCCTAATTAAGTCAAAGTACTTTTAAAGTCGATGGATATTCTCTCGTCTGTAGGAGTTGGGTGCTTGTAGACCATCAGTACAATATCTACTTGTACCGTGAGGGTGTGTTGAGGACATCTTCTGAGCCCTACAACAGCTCAGATCTCCAGGATATGACCAGTCACCTGACGAATCACTGCATCCAGAAAGAGCATTCGCAGAACTACGGCCGCTATGAGGAGGGCAACGAGATGTTCTTTGATGAGTTCAGACAGTACCTGTTGACCACACACAATCTTGCCATGGAAACATCTATTTTACCTCAGATCAAGCATATTATCAGGTGCTCCTATACTGAAAATGTTCAGTCAAGTTCACATAATGATTGCATGTTATCTGTGCCTGCAGATGAGTTGTATAAGAAAAAGGCATAACTTATTTCTCAAAGATAACTGATTCTTGTCAGAGATGTTCAGTGGGGGTCCAAAACTTTGAGTCCACTAATACAAATATTTATATTCTGAATTTTTTCAAATTTAAATGTCTCTTCCCCATACAAATCAGTGTTAGTTTAGTTTTATTTATATACTACTATAGTATTTACTATTATTTTGAATTAGCTTTATTTTTATACTTTCTGTTTTAATTAAAAAACTTTTTTTTTTAGGTTTATGTAATTTTATGTTTCGTCTTTTTTTTTTTTTGTCAGTTTTAGTTATAGTAATTTTAGTAGTTCAACTTATTTTCAGTTATTTGCTAAAGAAGTTTTTCATGTAAATTTATATTGTATTTCAGCTTTATTTCAATTAACAAGTTATATTTAATAGTTTTAGTTTTAGTTAACACTGTTGCAATTGTATTTCAACTTAACAAATAAGTGAAATTTGGGGAATAATTAAACTATTAGATGCATTTTGGCAGCACCCAAGCTGACATGGAATTCAAAAGTTTATCTAAAAATCTGACCTCTCATAAAAAAAGATAATGATCTACAATCTTAATTATTTCTTTCAAATTTTAAGTAATATTTCTGTTTTAAATTTTTTAAAAGTAGTGCTGTCAAATCGATTAATCACATCTAAAGTTTATATATATATATATATATATGTGTGTGTATTATATATATATATATATATATATTTACAAACTTTTATGTTAGATGTGATTAATCGTTTTAACAGCACTTTTAAAAATTCTTTCAATATTTTCAAAAGATTTTTTAATGCAAAAAATAACGGATTTTAACTCAGATGTTTGCACCCCAATATATGTGCATTTGTTTGTGTGTAACTAACTGTAGTTTTACTCTGAAATCCCGTGGCTTGTCTCAACAGGAGCTGTCTCGCATGCATCGAGCCAGCCATCAGCACAAAGCATCTGTCCTACCAGAGCTTCCAGCTCTTTGGCTTTGACTTCATGCTGGACGAGAGCTTCAAAGTCTGGCTAATTGAGATAAATGGGGCGCCTGCTTGTGCACAGTGAGTACACACTTCTCTTTTGTTATGTCCACAATGTTTTGTTTTAGTATCTTCCAACTGTCCGACATATTCGAAAAGTAATCATGATTTTGTCCCTCATTTTCACATTTGTTGTGTTAATGCATAAATGATCCTATATATAGTATGTGTCACCACAAGTTTTGGGTGAGAAAAAAAAACCTTTAGGCATCCTAGCTAAATGTATAATAGTGAATTTTACACTGAGGTAAAAGTTGTTAGAAGAGGTGTGAGTTGCAACATGATGACATCTACCATCTATTAAACATTTAGGGTCAGACTGTTGTTCTAACAAATCATTTTAAACCATGTATTGTTGCAGTTCCCCATCTGGCAAGTAACTTTTCTTTCCCAAGTAACATTTTTATTTATTTTTTCTGCCTGTGTCTGTACTGTTTGTTTGTGTGTTTGTATGAAAGAGAGAGCAAGAGAAAGAGAGCTGGCCATAGCTAATAAAGCTTAATTTCATGGGGGAAAACATGGAAATAGTTTATCATTTTTATCTTGTTGTTTGTTATTTTTATTTGCTTGCTCAATGTCTTTTTAGTTTTTGGTTCTTTAACTGTTGTAGGCTGTAAGGACCTTTGAAATATCTGAAATCATTTGGTGAAGTGATATGGAACTGTAATGCGTTCAAGACCTGCTGGAACTACTGTATCTGTGCGTTAACTAAATAAATGCACACCAGAACGTTCCTCGACCAATCAGAATCAAGCATTTAACAAAATGTGTGTGCTTTGTGCTGATTTTGCGTCCAATGTAATTGCATTATATAAGTCACTCCATTAAATGGACCATGGTCGCAGTCGTTAAAGGGATAGTTCACTTTGAAATTAATTGTTGGTATGTTTTAGCTTACCTCAAGGGCATCCAAGATGTAGGTGTCTGTTTCCGCAGTAGTTTCAATTTTGATATTTTTAGGTCAAACCGTTCTTGTCTGTCAGTCATATAATGCAGGTCTATGGTCACCACCTCAAAGAGCATGCACAGAGAAGTCCAAATTAAACATGATTTAATGACTCGTAAATGTAAGTACACATTGATGGCCTAAGGCACGAAACGAGCGGTTTGTGTGAGAAAACGAACAGTATTTATATCGTTTTTACCTCTTGTAACCACAGCCACGTCCAAGTGATCTGAGGGCGCGGGCGCTTTGGTCTGTGCGTTACAAGAGGTAAAAACGATATAAATACTGTTCGTTTTCTCACACAAACCGCTCGTTTCGTGTCTCAGGCCATCAATGTGTACTAACATTTACGAGTCATTAAATCATGTTTAATTTGGACTTCTCTGTGTATGCTCTTTGAGGTGGTGACCATAGACCTGCATTATATGACTGACAGACAAGAACGGTTTGACCTAAAAATATCAAAATTGAAACTTCTGCGGAAACAAAGACACCTACATCTTGGATGCCCTTAAGGTAAGCTAAAACATATCAAAAATTAATTTTAAAGTGAACTATCCCTTTAAAGCTTTTTGTTGAAGTTGAAATGTTTAATTGATATTAAAGTTTCTCTCTCTTGTAGGAAACTCTACACTGAGCTATGTCAAGGCATCGTGGATGTGGCCATCTCCACAGTGTTCTCTCTAAACGCAGATGCGCTCTCATCCTCGCCTCCGTTCTCCACTTCTCCATCTCTTTCTTCCAACTCCTGCTCCTCACCCAAGATCAGAGCGCCCCATCAGTTCGGCCCATTCATCAAACTATAAATTGCTGTTGCAGGATGCTGATGTTGCCATGCAAACCCCGTCCCTATAGTCCTGCCCGAAAACAACATCAACCAATCTGAGAGGCTTAAGGGTCTACACCTGATCTTGGGGTTGAACATACAGGGGTTTCTGAAGGATCTCTGTCTGAAGAGGACAGAAGGTACATGGGGTCACCTCTGTAACTCTTACCGTTTCCATCCATCATTTCTAAAGCAAACGCAGAAGAGTCCACAGAAATACAGAGAGCATGAGTTTCCAAAGTAAAGACTGGAAGGTGAGGAGAATCCTGCACATGCCAGTGTAGCATTACCCAGAAAAGAGTGATTTGTTTCTAAAGCCAAGCATGTACACTTATAATCAAGACTTTGTTTGTCCAGGAGCTTAACACTTAAAGACTTGAATTTACGAACACACTTTTGAAGGAGGAGTGGCAACCAAAGAGAAGGGTTTAGATCCTCTATGGCTGCATCCGAAATCATAACTTCCCTACTATATAGTAGGCAAAAAACAGTATGTGAAAAAAGAAGTATGTCCGAATTCACAGTACTCATAAAAGAGTAGACGAAAAGTACCCGGATGGCCTACTACTTTACGGCGAGATTCTGAAGTGTGCATACGATGGACACTTTACTATCCCATGAGGCCACTGGAGAGGATTTGTGAATGGCAGTGAAGCGACGTAACTGACCACATAAAAATGACAGCAACAACACATTCATACTATACAGAACATACTTTTTTAGCAGCCCTGTGAAGTAATTACTTATTCAAAATAAGTACCTACTCAAGAGAGTATGCGATTTCGGAAGCAGCCTAGGCCTCAGATCTGTTGCGTCAACGAGACTCCTCAGGACTTTCCCAGGCACCTTGATGTAACGGAGGATGGATTTGAGACTTTAGTGCCTTACATATTCCCATTCTCTCAACACCCACTTCCACAAGCTAATATGGCCTTTTGTACATCTGTATGTGTCCCATCAACTGTATTATCTATTAGACTCTTGTGTGCGTTTTGTGCTGTTAGCTTCAGTGTACTAAGTGGTTTTTAAACCACAAAAAGAATCTTTTTCAGATTCAGATATTTATGATTTGCAGTGTAGTGTACATGGTTGTGACGTTAAGACAGTATTTGGTAGAAGTAGCAGAAGATAATCTGTTTGCATACTTATTGTCATGTTACTGTTCTGTCTAGTGAGACCAGATTTAGTCTTCCCACTGATTCTGTTATTGTTTGTAGAGAGACACATGTTAGGTTCATAATTACTTTGTGACAGGCAATCAAGAACATCTGGGAATTGGGAAGCACTGCCTTCTGCTTGTTTTGTCATGAGCATTCACTACTCATCACTTACTATTCAATAGACAAATGGTAATAGTTATTCGCAATAGTTATTTAGTTCATTCCAAACTCTGTCAAGAGTTGCATTTTCTGAATGAGTAAACCTTCAGTGGACTGAGATGTTGCATGTCAAAGCATGTTAAAAGCAAGGCTCTTTATACATACATTGAGAAAAGTAGAGTTTTTACATAGTAAACATGTCCAAATATGAAGGCTTTGGGAGATTTTTCTCCATCTAATGCAAGTGAATGATGATCTGCGTAGACCATTTCTGACTGTTCAAAATCATTTAGGCAGCTTCAAACGCCTCCATGTGCGTATATCATTTTTTATTTTTCTCAGAAAATGACATAATTTGCTAGAGAAGACCCTTATTCGTTTTCTGGGGTCGTGTGGAGGCCTTTGAAGCTGCCTAAATATGATTTTTGGATCATAAAAAATGGTCTGCGCTGAGCACCATTCACTTGCATTAGATGAAGAAGAATCCTGTCATGTTTTCTTCCAAAACCTTCATTTCTCTTCGCCTCAGGAAAGAAAGTCACATACATCTTGGATGGCCTTGGGGTGAATGCATAATTTCTGCTCTTGTTTTATATTTCTGTATACTGCTGAAATGGTTTATGCGTAGCAGAGCACAAAGATTTCTTTGGATTTTTTTTAGCACACAATACGGGTTGCTTGGCAATCGTGTTGTGTGCAGCGATGGTCATTTAATGTAATTTCTTCAACATAATCTGCACAGGTTTATGACCACTTTCATCTTACTGTGCATGCAGATATGACTGAGTTCCTGTGAGCGGTGTGGTTCATTAACAGCAGGCTCTGAGGGATTGATCTGTACACTGTCATGATGTAGATCACACACAGGCAAGTTGATGTGGAAGAAGAAAGCAGCAATTTAGGGTTTGAATGTGTGATATTCTGATATCAGTATTTATGTTGTTTGGCAGAAGAGGAAGGACGTGAAAAGGAGTTTAAACAGTATTGCATCTCTTTGAATTTAAAAGGAAAAGTATTGAAGGAAAGCCATTTTTTTTAAACATTGTGGTCATCAATCCTACTACTAAGAGCAGTTATCTAAGTTTTATTATGCATCTTTGCGGTGCTTGTCTTATTTGTAGTGCGTCTTTTTACTTTTTTTTTGTTTTTTTTAAGAAAACTGAAGGCAGTTGTATGTAGCCTGTATGAGGGAAAACATCATTAGCCAAAGATCAGTGTGATGAAATATCTTCACAGCTGTTCAGAATATGACTGTCGAATGAACATCATGGTTTAAGTTGTGAAATGTGGGAATGCTGTTGTAATTGTTTTCCTCCTGTACCCGAGGAAAGATCAATGCAATGTATGTTAGTATTAGTCTAGTTTGCTGTATTTGTTACTGTTGTTTAGACCATTTGAAAATAACAAAATATACTTTTACTATGTTGGATAGGTAAAAGCCTGAAAAGTATTTAAGTTGTTCAAATAAAAGCATCCATCCTGTGCAATAAATTTGTTTCCTATATACTACATTAGCAATTTAGTCCTTAAAAGAAAGTACATATTGTGAACTTTACTAATGCAATATTTATCTATTATCCTCGTATTTTCATAAAGCCTGTTTATTCCTTACTATTGTACCTTACAGCTCTAAAGTAGTTTCCCATCCAAGTACCTGTAGCTGTCTGTCACGTGCGATATGTTAATAGTACAATATTTAATAAAATTATTTTCTCTGTTGTGTTCCAGGTAAGCTGGTCCCAGTTTATATTAAGTGTCTTTAACTACTATGTACTAACATTTGAATGAATAATTTGATACAAAGCACTTGTGTACATGCTTTTACATTGTACTTGCATTAAAAAATACCTGCAAGTAATGTTTTGCAAAACAGCGAACACAATAAGTACATTGTACCTACCATTTTCTTACGCAAGTACATAGTAGCTAAAGACACCTAAAAATGTGCCTTGTAAGATTATAAAGGTGTATATGTATATCTATATCTGCCACACTAATCCCCATTAAGAAGGTAATGCATAGACTTGACAGGAAAGAGTTATAAAAACCACTCGACTCTCCAACAGGGGGAACTAAAACCCACACAATCTTACAGTAGTAGAGTACATCTGTTGTCTTTATTCAAGTATATGTACACTATACCATACAATAATATAAGTAACACCACAAACACGGCAGTAAATGCAGTTTAGCCAGCACAGCGGCAGCCTGAGAAAGTGGAAGATACACGAGTCCAGTGCGAAATTCAGGATACACACAGAAACATACACGTACAACAAAATACAAAACATTAATGAACACAAGTGGTAGAAGACAGAGACGGACAGTAGAAATGCAACAACAATAACCACAAAAATAAATATGTCAGGGTTATACAGGTCACAGCAGTCCCTGCTCCTACACACAGGGTTTGTCCTACATTTTATAATATTTTTGATGCTATATTGCCTTTAGTTAAATTTAACTGGAACTATTGAGTCCTATCTTATTATAAAATTGTAAAGACTATGCAATTGCATATGGATTTTAGCATTAATAAAAACCTCTGACTTCAGGGAGTGAGTGCCACGTCAGTAACCCCGTTCTCAAAAAAATGAACAAACTGATCAACAGTCAAAAAACGCATATAATCACATATAAACTGTCTGAAAATGAAATTCAAACATGTGAAGGGCACATTTAGTCCCACAAGTGTGTAGCAAAGCTCAAATTAGTGACATAACACAACTGGATACTCTATGTATAAAAATGCAAAATGATACATTTATTCATTTAGAGTAAAGACAACTAAAACACACAAGCCGAGTGGATATTCCAGCTTTTGTCAGTAAAACATTGGATGTGAGATCAAATCCACCCAACACACAGCAGCTACCCTATTGCACATGGTCACAATGCAGAGAATTAACATGCGTTTTACAGAGAAAACACACTTATCCACACACACAAGATGAAGTAATTACTGCATCAGGCAGTAATATAATATATTACACCAATAGAAAGGTTATAATGAAAGAGTTACATGAATACAGAGAACAAAAGAAGTAGAAACAAAGTCAAGGCGGCCAGTTGAGCAGTGCACTATATTAACACAAATCCTTGACATGATACACTGATATATATATTGGGCTTTTATTTGACCACAGTATTAAAAAGTATGCATTTAGTAAAATCTTGACTGACATTTGACCTTAAAGAGCTCAAACTGTTCTGTCGTCATACACAAAATCAATAACTTCCACATTCATAGTACCTGCCCGAGGCACTCACAAGGCACGCTTGCTTTCAAACAGGTACTGTAGTTAAACATCTGGGGACAGAATTCATATTCCAGTGCATTTTTATCTGGAGTAGCAGTACTTATAACTCCAAGTGAGATAACATACTGTTGCTTTTACCTCACAAATAACAGAAAGACAAAGGCTTCCTGCTGTTATTGTTCATGGAAACCTTCAATATTCAGGTGGTGTAAGAACTGAAGTAAAACCAGTCAAAACATTTAAATCAACCGAAAGCATCTATAAACCAAATGCGATCGATAAAACTGAGGTAAACAACTAAATTTAGTTTCGTAACATTTAATGGCTTGATAAGTGTAACATTATCCTATGAGATCATTCAAAGTGCAGTGTTACTTTGCACACTGAATCTGTTCTTTCAGTCCTGAGATTTAATCCACATTCTTATACAACCATGGCAGCGTAAACCATCGAAAATCTTTTTCTTTTTACTATGAGGGAGGATTTTTCCTGTTCCTTGTGTTATAAAACCCAATAGAAAAATAAGGCCTGTCTCTCTCCAACTTCTTAAAAGCAATACAAAAAATGTGCATCATTGAACCATCACTCATGTAAACATAGACCTTCATTAACACGGTGCAGTTCTCACTTTATCAAGGGAATAAGTTTGATTGTATCAGTTCTTTAATAGAAGCAACATGGTCCTCTGGTGTAACTCAAGGTATAAACAACATTAATCTCGTCAATGCAGAATATTAAGTTGCAAAGGGGAAAAATGGGACAATTTTGTCTATAAACAGTCAAATATGCACACCTATGTTACTCAAGTCACTATAATCATCAATAAAAACGGTCCTATAGTTGTTGGTTTTAAAAAAGCATCAACGTACATCTCGAAATAAAACAAAGAAAAATCCAATGAAAGCAGCAAAAAAAAAGCCATTAGAGTCTAGTCTCAACCTGAGTCCCAATAGCATTATCGATTTTTTCCCCCACAAATTTTCATCTTTGCAGAACACAATCTCAAATTTGTTGTGCACTTTGGTTCTGGTTGAGCTTTTTAACATAATTTCTACAGCTAACTTGCCAGAAATTAAATACATATACAAAGACTCGAGAGCAAAAGTAACCTCCGGAGAAGGTAGTCCTGTCTGAACACAGCTCACGTCAGCCCGATGATGAGACCTCTTAGTACCTCTCTTCATTGGGACATCCAACAGCAGACCGTCAATGCGCCAGGTCAGTGTGACTGGAACTCAGGTCCCGCGTCTTACTCAGACGATTATTTCGTTCCTGTAAGATACAATAAACTGAGCTCAGGAGATCCTGAAGGAAGTGAACGAAAGGCCGCTCAGGGTGAGTCTATTTTACATTATATATTATTTAATCCCATTATCAATTGACACAAACATTAGTTGACATTTTGTCAGGACACATTGTTGGGGGCAAAAAAGGCTCACAATCATGTTAAAAAGGAAAAGAAAGCTGTTTTAACTGATTAGCTAATACAAGTGTAACATCTTGCAGTCTGGGTGAAAGATGATGTTCAAATAAACAAACAAACTTTTTTTGTATTAAAAATCACTGTACAAAAATAGCTGAATTCAGTGTCATTTTAAAGAAAAGATTCTCTAAATGAACAAACATCATTATTGCAACTCCCTATGGGGCAGTTGAATGGCATGGTTCTCTCATGACAGGAAATGATGACATACTGTCATGAGAGAACCATGCCATTCTGAATGTAGGATGTTTGGATTCCATTCACAATATATACCAGCTATAAAGGTTATTCCTCATCAAATGTACTTACTTAGACAGTGTACAATGTCGGACACACCTGAGGTTTAGTTTATAACTCTGTAAACAATGATTTGCTTCTTGCTAATGCTAGCTGGTGTGAGGTGGTATTAGGGGGAGGGTCATTCACATTCTAGAAAGCATTTGATTGGACAAAAACCTGGACACGCCCATGAATACAAATGGATACATTATTTTTCTGATGCATTTTAAATGTAATAAAACCTTTAAGAGTATGTTAGCATATAGATAGCTGAAAAGCTAACGTGGACTAAAAAATAAAAAAAAAATAAAAAAAAATTCCACATTCATTTCACTTTCAGACCAAAGAACTGGAAAAAAAGACCCCAAAAAGATAATGAGAAATACTACTGTTAAGGTGTCTATATTAATCTCTTAAGATATTATAAATACACTGAACAATGCATTAGCTGAACGTCAGGATTGTTTCCTAACAAAAAAAGTGTTTATTTTATAACCCAAGACCATCAGTGGTTATTGGGGATTTTAGCAAACACAATCAGATGTGTTAGTCTGTGACCGCTGAGATCTCACACATACAGTTAATTAACGTGTGTTAATATGGTAATGAAAGAGCTGTGGGTGTGTTGATAATAGATGCTCCCAAAAAACAGAGTCCAACAGTACGAGACTGAAAGACAGTAAAGTGCGAGACAGATGGGCCAGAAAAAAATAAATAAATAAAAGAGAGCAGGAGGAATTGAGAGAAACTGAGGAGAAAGATGTCAGGAGAGAGAAAGAGCAGAAAAGAAAGATATCGTCTTACTTTGAGTTCTCCCACAGGAAAATCCGGCTGGTTGAGAACTCCAAGAGAGCTGGCCCTCTTCATGCTGCATCCGAGAGAGCCACATGCAAGCACGTCAGTTAGGTCAAAGGGCAGGTGTGAGGGGTCACGGAGGGATGGGGATGTGTGGGTTAAAACATGTAAAAGCAATCACTCAATGATGTTACTTTATTACTATGTGGACAAAGATAAAACACCACAGTCTGTGGAAAGACATGCAATGACATACTGGCCATGTACACGCTGCAGCTAAATTCAGTTGTCAATTAGTGCTTAATCCTGTTTTGTACACACAGTGTTCAGTAATTTACGGGAGCGACAACCGCATTCTACAACTGAATTAACAAATAAATAATTAATCTGGTGTATACTACAGGTCAGAGCTCTTTAAGTTGTTTGTTTATTATTATTATAATATCATGTGCTTTGAGACATATGTAGTGTAACGTGTCTCTTTGCAGTCTCTGCTGTGTGTGTGTGTGTTCATGTGTTTTGAAGGAGGCGGGGCTTTGGAGAGGCTCTGAAGGGAGGGTGGGATCTCATGCTTTTAAAGCTAACTTGCAATTGCTAGCTGCTCCGAAAATTGCCTACCCTACCTTTAATCAAAAATATACCAAACACTCGAGACACCAGAATGTTGCTGTGGTTATCACGTCAATCATCAGAATTTCGGGAGCGAGTTTGTTCCATACACACACAAAACGATAATTTTGGGGATTCACGCCAGTATTTAATTGTCACTCCTATAACTTTACAGTGTGTACATGGCCACTGTGTTACGTTAGTCATCTGTCATCTGTTTTTTGACACTTCTCTCATTACTCACAGATACATTAATTTTTTTTTTTATGTAATATTACTGCTGAGTTATTTCAGTTGAGTTATTATTATAAGTCTGTATTTTCTCACCCTCATGTTTTTTTTCAAGCCTGTACGCTTCTATTTTTTATATTCAAATTTATAAATGGTTAATAAAAGCGTTACAACAAGTTTGACATTAATGCCGACACGCAATTGGTTTTCGCATATATTGTAACTGAATACGACACACCAGTTTGAATTTGAAGGACAGAAAATTATATTTTTGAGCGGTGCAAAAAATTCACACAAAACTGTTGTATGAATTTAAAATACTTGCAACGAGTACGAGTCATTTGGACCACTTTTGGATTTATTTTTTGTTGTTTTGTTTGGTGTTAAGAAAATACCAGTCAGGTTTGGAAAGATATGAGGGTGAGTATATGATGACAAAATGTTCATTCCAGAGTAAACTATTTTTTTAAGACCGAAAAGGGTGAATTCTTTAACAAACATTGCACAAAATTATATACACTAAACAAACAGACACCAAAAAGGAGCTGCAACGGACCCTTTTCACACTTCTGGATTTCTCAGAAGCGGAAGTCGAACTTCTATAGTAATGAATGGAAATACAAGAAAATGATATCATTCAAATTTGCCCTCACTCCCTCAGCCTCACACAGCACTATTTACTACTTTTCTGTAATTTAATGCTAAAAGTATAGTGTTATAAATGTATATTAAATTTAAAATATACATTTAAAAAAACTTGATTTACAATGTTAACTGTGTAAACGCATCATCACAGTCTGTGAAAAGGGTCCATTGTACAACAGTAAACAGAAGTAGTTTGCCATGGAGTTGGTAGACAGAGAGGAGATGATGAAGAAAGGTTAAAAAAAATCGGATAACACAGCAAGTGGGACCAAAAGACAGAAAATGGAGGAAACAGGCATGCAGCAGACAGCAAATTTGCATGGAAATGTTTATTCAATTAAACAAATGTACAACACAGCACAGAGTAATAAAAGTCCTCAAATTAAAAAAAATAAAAACAGATCCAAGCAGACACAAAAAGGCATCAAGAAAATCACCAGGCAAAAAGGCATAAAAGATGAACAAAGTAATCATAACACGCACCAGAAAATAGTTAAAATGCAAAGAATAAATAAAAATAAATGGCATTTTACAGGGTAAGGAGAGAAAGTTAGTCACATCTGGCAAATCAGATGCTACAGGAACCCCAGTGAGCCGTCCTGAACACACTGCATCATAATGTCCTCCGTCCGTCACGTTAGATGTCAATATGTCATTCAGGGTTAAGCAGGTTTATTCATGTGCAAAAAATACAGCCCAGTTAATAAAGCAAGCAAATCCCTTCATCCACTTAAAACTGGGCAGTGAAAGAGAAAGACTTATATACTGATAGAGGACTTTCCTTCATTATAATGTTATAACAGTGTGCAAAATCACCTGCCTTCCTCGCATTAAAGAGATAATTCGATAAAATCGGTCCCATAAACCCTCATAAAAGCAATTTTTTTTGGTGTCATCCAGTGTTTAAAGTAATTCAGATTGGGACATTCACTTTAATTCACTTCATGCTTTCCATATTTACAGTCTATGACTCCCAATGACATTTAAATTATCTTTAGAATGTCTAGTGACATTTCAGACAGAGATACAGATTGTAATTCTGTCCCAGTGGGATCCTGAACTGCTCAATCCTGCTCCCCAAGATCTACTTCGTTCACTGCAGAGTTTAGTTGAAACTCTATTTGAATCATTTTAACAATGTCTTCCCAAAAGTGTGATTGAGCATTCTCCTGTCCCAGTTTTCGAACCATATAGCCATTCAAGTTGCTAATCCAGTGTATGGTCATGATGTCATGTTCGCCTACCCATTGTTGAGTCCGTAGTGGGAAGGTTTGGGATTTTGGAAAGGGGAGGTATGGTCTGAAAATAGGGATGGAAGTGGTGATAGTTACCCAGGATTTTTGGGTTCGTTTTCTCGTAAGCCTCCTCCTTTGAGCTTGCGGACCAGTTTCTCACTGCTGCGTCGGATAGAGGCCCGCAGTTTACTAAAGGAACCGCTGCGCTTCAACGAGCCCGAGCCGTCCTGCCAACAGAGACGCTGCAGCGTTAAAACCACACAGACTTATTTACATACTGCACATTAGTGAAAGAGGGCACTGACACAAGCTCATCCTCAAACACACTCAAGCACAATGATCACTTACCTGGATCTGGAAATATGGTCCTCGGTTATGTTGGTTTAAAAGGGATAGTTCAGCCGAAAAAGAAAATTCTGGTATAAATGACTTACCCTCATGTCATTCCAAGTCATTTAGTTATATGACAAACATTATAAAGCAATCATGTCCATTCATATGGATTACCTTTATTTTATGAACTTTTTAAAGCTTTGAGCGTTCAATGGATGGACAAAAATTATGAGAATATTAAAAACATCCTCATTTATGTCCTAAAGATGAGCAAAAGTCTTTTTCAGTTTGGACTGACATAAGGGTGAGCAAATTTCATGACAATTTTCATTTTTTGGTGAACTAACCTAAACACTAGAACTAAAAATATGACCATATTTGAATTACAGTATATAAGCTTTCATTACAAATCAGATTATATTTGCTGGTCAGGACAAAGTCCAAAGCTAAACACATTTAACATGCCGTTCCAAACCCATAAGACTTTTGTTAGTCTTCAAAACAAATGGAGATGTATATATATGTATATAACAGATTTCTGTCCCTTCATTAACAGCTAAGCAAGTACCACTTTGACGCTTCAAAAAGTTAAAAATCGTAAAACTAATCCATATGAATTGAGCGGTTTAGTCCTAATTTTCGCTTTATATAATGAACATATTTGTTTTAGGCTTTTATTCACATATAAACATTGATCAACTCATTCATTCTCGTACAACAAGCAGGTTCGGTTGAGCTTGTGTTTATGTCCACTGATCGATGTTTAAGTGTGAATAAAAGCCTAAATTCAATCTGTTCATCATATAAAGCGATCATGTCTCTTCAGAAAATTTGAACCGTTCAATTCATATGGATTAGTTTTATGATCTGTTTATGAACTTTTTGAAGCATTAAAGTGGTAGTTACGTAGCTGTCAATGGAGGGACAGAAAGCTCTCAGATTTCATTAAAAATATCTTCATTTGTGTTCCGAAAATGAACGAAAGTCCAAGGTTTGGAACGACATGAGGTCATTTTGGGTGAACTAATCCTTTAAACTAAAACTTCCATTTCTTAATCTCTTAATTATGGCTTAAACATGACTACAGTTAAATTTCAGTTCATCTTTTTAGAAAGAAAAGAGTATATTGTGTAAATAATTCTCACGCTCTACTCCAAAAAAATATTTACTACTATTTCTTAATGACTCTCCATTACTTTTTCCAGTTATTCATGAGTGCTAGATAAGAATGATTAAACATTACGAAATAATTATTTTAAAATAATTATCGAACCGTATACACTGCACTCACAAAACAGCAATTTCTAGCTAATGAAACATTTTAGAGCGGAGCATTACTAGTAAGATCACTATAGAAATGAAAAAAATATTTTAAGTTCCCAGATTTGGAAATCTTCCCATGAACCCTGTAATATTCTGTAGGTCCCGATACAGTTCGTCCACCGATCTTTACCACAATCTGCTCTGCTGCAGTCTCTTCTGCTGCGACCCCTCACCTTTGACCCCCTGAACAGAGGCTTGGAAGGGGGTGATGGAGGTGGAAGGGGGAGGAGGAGAGGTTTGAAGAAGATGCAACACTGAGCCAGAAAAATCATAACCACCACCTCCATTAAAAAGACAAGTAGTTACAGCAGTCAGCCACAACACATCCAACTCACACACACCAACATCAGGTTTAAACATTTCACCGGAAAAACACACACATATGCTTTCAAGAACAGATAAAGAGAAGGAGAACACAAGCAGAGGCTGTGGTCAGCAAAGTCAGTTTTATTAAGTTATGAAAGACAAGATGCAGCAACACACCAGAGAACATGTTAGTAGAAGAAAGAAAACAAGAGCATCAGATTCTACAGACATGCTTCTATTCGTCCCATCTAATCCCTCTCATCTACCCATCTCCCTTTTCTAGTGTTCTACTATATACAATGGTCTCTGAATAATGAACAATATGAAATGGTTTGAAAAAGTGTGTGGAAAACAAGATTTACTGGTCTATACAAATGCTGAACAACACAACCATGCCACATTAATGCACTGTACAGGAAGTGTGAGAGAGAGATAGCATTACAGGGCTCACTTTCGGACACAGCAGATCAAAGTTCAAATGGCTCCCAGCACTACAAGACATTGAGGAGAACCAATGAGAAACAAGACAACTGAGTGTCACAGGCCTTGCAGTTGAAATCAATGTTAGCGTCAATACGAGAGAAGCTCTATTTACAGCATTTCTGGCATAATGGGGATTAGAACGTACAATTTCGACTCATCCGTCTATTTATTCACTTATTTTAATATATTATTTTGTAATATAAATTTTAAGGAAATAAGAGGGGTCTTTAAGATTTCATTTAGCTTTTTTGCTTCAGCACTGCCCTGAATAAGCTATTCCACATAGGAAATGTTTCCATATATTTCACAAGACAAAATAATATCTAAATAAAAAGTTATTTAAAAAAAATATATTATAAATTATATATATATAAATATGGTTTCAGAAGTATGACCACATGTCCAAAGTTCTACACAATTATACTGAATCAAATTGATTTTCTTTTTAACTTTTAGGAAGCTTGACAAATTACTGTTATTATAAGTATGATTTTTACCTTTTTTTTTTTTTTTTTTGAGGAATGAGATTAAGTTATTTTATATTAACATTATGCCAAAAATGCTTTTGAGTTTAACTTATTATTCAACGCAGAATATTGTTTTTATGGAGGATGTATGTCAAATGTACAGCATAGACATTAATCAGAGTAGAGTTGGTTTTAATTTGTCAAATCGATTAATCTAACAAAAGTTTGTTTATATATACACATATTATATAAACAAACTTGTATGTAATAGGTCAGCCCTATATTAAATATGATTTCTACTCTAAGGTCTCTTTACAGCTCTTTTATACAGACTTGTAAAAGAGTGCAAGTCATGGACTATTTTTGACAGATATTGTCACTCACTATGAACAAAAATTCCCTTTGTGTTCAATGGAGAAAATAACAGCAAATAGATTCAGAGGTTGAGTAAATAATGACAGAATATTCATTCTTGAGTGAACTATTGCTTAAACACCAAAGCAGCTGTATTAGGACGGCAATTCCAATCAGTGTTAAAAAGGGAAAGGAAAATGGAGTATTTGATCAGGAAAACAGAGTCTTTACTAAGAGAGATTTAGACTCTGAGATGGATCTCTAAAGGAAGGTAATTAGAGACACAGACATAGTGGCAGCTTACATTCAAGATGAACAGACAAACAGTTAAAGAGACTGATGGACAAGAAGAGACCTCTCTACAGACATATTACAGACTGACAGATTATTATAGTGCTGCAAGATAGAAGAGAGACTTAGTTCAGCTTTGACAAGAAGGAAAGGCCAAGGAACTTGGCCAGGCAGGGTCTGCTTTAGCCCACTTATGCCCACAGGAGGAGGAGGAGAAGGAAAGGTGCCGTTCGGAGAGAGGAGACGAAAAAACATCAAAGCTGGAGAGGGGGGGGTGAGGAGGGCATCCATCATGCAGAAGGTAAGTTCAATAACCACAACAAGGCACCTGGAGTTACACCTGCCAACCACACGAGAAAGAAAGAGAGAAAGAAAGAGAGAGAGAGAGAGAGAGAGAGAGAGAGAGAGAGAGAGAGAGAGAGAGAGAGAGAGAGAGAGAGAGAGAGAGCGAGCAATGCAAGAGGAGGCAGAATAAGTACACAAGGAGAAGAGAGAGGTTATAGAGAAAGAGGAACAGAGACAAAATGTTATATTATTAGGGAGACTGAAATTGAAAGTGCAGACAATGAAAAGAGACAGATGAAAAAGCAAGAGATATAGAAAGTGAAACACAAAATGTTAAATGGCAGCAAGGCCTGAAACATACTGTACACAAGCAAATGCTCAAATTGTGCCAGTGTAACCCCTCCGGTTCTACTCGCCCCAGTTCTACTCGCTGGCCTCCGTTACACTGACCCCCCTGAACCACACTCCCATTCGGGTCACGGCACCAATGTAACCCCTCTGGTTCTACTTGCACCGCTGCGAGCAGAATTCGAACTGGCATTTCCTGCATGGTAGGCAGGAGCGCTAACAAGGACGCTAAAGACCACAGCATCTAGTGTCAGTTGCTAGTGCGCCTCTTGAGGCCAGGGGAGTGAGGTTAACTCGCACTCGCTGGCCTCCATTACGCCAGTACACACTTCTCTTCTCTGCATTCTCAGAGATGCCACAAGGGGCGCTATAGCATTAGAGCAAACTTTTTCTTCTATAGTCAGTTCACTCTTTCAGATCAGCTGCATTCAACAGTTTAAGTAGAATCATTATGAGTTTAATATGAGCAAATACTTCTCGAAAAAACAACAACTAGTAATGTCTAAAATTCACCAATTCAAACAGAGTTCTGCAGGAATTAGTCTTAAAGGGGTCCTGTTGTGATCATACACAGGTTCATAATTTGTTTATGGGGTCTTCTTAAAACACGTTTACATCATAGTCAAAAAACACCTTTGCAAGCACGACATGAGCTGGAATGAAAAAAACAGCATCTCTTGGACATGTCGACAACACAGTACTAATGCAACTCAACCAGGCCTCGTCCTTTTTTTTTTGTATGCCTTGGGTGGGAATTAAGTAAATGAGGATTATTTTGATATACCGGTATATATGTTCCCGTACGAAAACTCAAGGCTACAATCGATGGCATTTCAGGGAGTTCAGAAACAGTGCGCACTGATATAGAGTATAACTCCCTTTGGAGTGGACTTTGTGCTTTGTAAATTTGGAGACATTTTCATGATCAAAGAGCAACATTACAAAAAAAAAAAAAAAAAAAAAAATTTTTTTTTTAAAAAAAAAACCATATTGGGACTCATTTAAAACCCAGAAACGAGCTAGCATTTTTGCACTTACGGTTGCTGAAGTCCTAAAGTTAAAGGGTTTTTGAATGGGTTTTTGGTTAAATGTCTGAAATAATGTTTAACAGGATATGTTCGCGTTTTATTCTATGACATAAAATCTGCTTTTACAGCCTCGTTGTGTTTATGTTGTTGGAAGCTTAGTGGTGGTGACGTTGAAGTCACACAACTGTGGTGAAGTTCGTATATAGCCAGTCTTTTTTTTTTACTTCTGGTGATTGCATTTAGATTTTCAAAAATCATAAAAGTTTTGTTCATTTATGAAGATTGTCTTGATGGACAATGTGTAAGAATCATAAACTTTGGTTTCACCACAGAGCTTATTTTCATCAATAATCCAAAAGCCAATGGAAAAATATCCTATAGGCTTTTTGTCGAGGGAACAAGAGTGATGCTAACGTCTGATTCTAACAAAGTTTACAAGGTACCAGGTTGATGTATATGCTTTTGAGGATCAAATCATCAATGTATTTGCCAGGTTTTTGGCATTGGTCTATATTCAAATGTCATTACTATCACAGAAACGTGACCGTGCATTTGCAATTTTCTGCATACAGTTATAGTTAAGTCAAGAGGGAACACGTAAATGGATTGTGCTAATAATATACTCCTCAGAAGAACAACAGCAACTCACAGGGGCATAAAAAAAAGCAAATGAAATCTGGAACAAAACAAAGAACACAAATATTGTGCCACTGTGATCACACATGGGATCATGTGCTTGTTTCGTGTAAAATGGCTGACCGAAATAAATTCAGCATAGTAGTCTTGTTTAGAGGCCAAAGCCACAGGCACTTTTCCATGACTCTATTCCTACAACCCTGAGCAAGGTCTAAAAATGGCACACTATCAACCCTGAGGTCCTATTGATTTGTGCAAGCTTATACATTATGGACCTCAGATTTGCCTGGGAGAGGGATATGAATAGATGAGGACAATAACACAAAATGGACTGGCAAGAGGTAGAAAGCAAGAGGATACTTTAAGTGTGCAAACAAACACACATTCACAAATAGGATTAGAGAGCATGCATTCAATGAGACAAATCAGAAAAACACACCAGGAGTACAGAACACACAGCCCACGCCAACATGTGCGTGAATGTAAACCTTGCTGATTTTATGCTACGTGAGTGCCTGTATGTGTAAGAAAAACAAATGCATGTTTGAGAAAGATTTACAATATAACAGTACAGTATATAGTGAAGTACTGAGCCGTGTGCGCGAGAGAAAGAGACAAGGACATATAAGCAAGAAAGACAGGGAAGGGAAATTCAGGTGAATGAGATCACAGCCAAACCAGCTCGATGAATCTGATAGGAGCCTCCCACAATCTGAATTGGGGTGGGTTTTCGCCATGGGGGATGCTGATTGGTTGTCTTGGAGCTATGGTTACTGTTGCTACGGCAGCATAAAAGTTGTGACTCAGAATTGCAGAGAGACTACAGCAGAGGTGTGATGATCAAAACAGCAGCTACGAAACATCTGCCTTACAGAAGAGAAGCAGTTCATATTCATCTAATGCTAAGCTACAGAGAGGAAGTTAATGAATGAATGGGTTCCGTTTAGATTAATGATGATTTGGATCATTCATTAAACTTGTGGAACATTTTTAAACAATTCATTGCGTCTGGCATATAAGAAATTCTGTTAATTTAAGGATTGAGTGTGTTTAAAAGACAAGCTGTGATTTAAACTGCAAATGCATGAGATTTATTTCAATAATGCAACCCATATTTTAGAAACCGCAGGTATATCAATAATTCAAGTGTTTACTCTTGTTTAAAGACATGTTTTTCTTTTATATACATATATTTTATATTATACAAATGAAACGGTATCAAACATTAATACTCTTGAATATATCAAATGTGTATGAATACACTGCCACTTAAATGTCTGGACAACTCTTATAAAAATAATAATGTTATTATTAATATTAAAATATATGACATTTAATACTATTATTAAAATAATTGTATAAAATTGAATCATAATCATTATTATTGCTATTATTATTGTATATAAAATAACATTATTATAATTAACATCTAAATGCATTTACAACTTCAGTATAAGACTCTAAATCAACTTTTAAATCATACAGAAATTCAGTCAAGTGAGTCCAAACGTTTGACTGGTAGTGTATTATGTATAAAGAATGTGTGCTAAATATAAACAGTATGTAAAAAAACATTCTCTGCAGTCAATGAATATAATTGGAGTTAATTCATGGTTGAAAGGGTTAATAGGGTTTCAAGTCAGGCCACTATAAAGCACTACAGGCAAATACATTTGACACTCAATCAGCATGAGGAATATGACTACAATGATGTATGGAGTCAGGAAGTATAAAGAGTAACTCCAATCCAACACAATTTGAGTCCCAGAAACAGGCCTGCAAATTCCACACGCTGCTCTTTGAGAGCAGTAATGCTGAACTGACTGAGGTTACTTTCATACTTCTGATTCGAAACTCAATACAAGCCACTGTAATAATATAATTAGCTTTATCTGGTTGCAGGTTTGATCTGCTTCCAGTGATTCATGTTCCTATCTTAAATAGAGTTTGGTCAATGCACTGGCACACATCCGAATGCATTATTCTTCATGTGATTAATTCTGGATGTGAGGTGGGGTGGATGTATGTGGGAATTATTGTGTCTTGTCAGGTCAGAATAACATGCCGCCCTACATCATTATCCTCTCACTGAATATGTATGCCTGCCAGGACTCAGAGACCCGTGAGATGTTGTAGTGTGTGTGGGCTTGGGCGGTGTGTACTGTACTTACCCCGTTCCACTCCACGCTCATACTCACTTCCTCTCCTCCGTCAGGGCCGCTTTCGTACTTCACCGTGTCAGAGGTCAGGCTCTCACGGCTCCGCTGCTTCTCTCGTACTTCAGGGTCTCCCAGCACCTCCGCCACACGCTGCTTATGTGCCGTGTCCAGACCCTGCAGGAGGAATATGGTCTGATCACAACAATCATTTTTTTATCAGCTTTGACCTACAACCTATCTACCCATTTATAGAAATTTATAGTGACTTTTCTGGTCCTTTTTGGAGGTTGTCATTGTCAGTATAAATCAATGCAGTTTGAACATTCCTAATTATCTTATATATTTCACACATTTCGTTTTTATTATTTTATAATAAATAATATAAAAAAAAAAATATAAAAAAAAAAAAATAATAATAATAAAAAAATTATATATATATATATATATATATATATATATATATATATATATATATATATATATATATATATATATATATATATATATATATATCAGTGGCGGGCCATGCATTTCACACCTAGGCCTTCTGTCCTTCCTGAATTAATAACTTTTAATAGTGTAGCAGTGCAAAGACTCTATAATTGTTGTTTTTATTTTGCACCGGCAGTTATTGGGTTAATGCGGTGAGTTTGGAAAAGGCCGGTAGAAAGAAACGAGCGCGTGAGTTCGGCTGGTGCGTTTGTGTACAGTTGTTCTTGCGTTCCGATTATAAATTCAGAAACGGAGCCTCCCTTATCTTGTCGTTCAATGGTTACAATAGTATGGATGTTTGAAAAAAAATTAATTTTCGATCATAAATTTAAAAGAAAAATTAAGAAGAAAATCATATTCACCACGGGGAAAAAAGCATTATACTCAGCAAAACTACTGATTATTTTTTACACAAAATCCATCCTTATTTCTTTCCTCAGGAAGACTTAAATTACTCTGTTGTACAGGCTATCTGTGCGTTTCAGTTCCAACAATAACGAGTCTAATGCTGAAAGTCGAGTCCCGTCATATTTCTAGCATAAGTTTTAATTCGCTTTAGAGAGTGTCTGCTCGACAGAAGCAGTGGACACAATCACCGCATAACCTGACGATGTGTACCGCTGTCCCATGCTCTCACAGAGTTTTGAACGAAAGCAATGAGATCAGCGGGACTTTTGCCTTCAAAATCATTCGTGGCATAACTTACATTAGTCAGTTTTTACATTACCCGGACAGATCGAATAGAGTTCCGTGACTCTGCGTTAAGCTCAGGCTGAATAAGGGATTTTTTCCGGTAGGTTTGAACCTGCTGGGGGGTCGAGGAGGGAAAGAAACATTAATTTGTGGGTTGAAAAACTATTAAATCTACAGGAATATATTTTAGTTTGCAGTTCGCTACAGATGCGGATAGCCTACTGACTACCAGTAATAGTACGCGCTCTGAGCATCCAATCAAAGAACGTGAAAATGCCGACGTTATTGTATGCCTGCTAGATGGCCCCGCTGCAGTCAAATCGAAATCTGATTGGCTGATTAAATCTGACTGCTTATCTGATTGGTTAAAGCAACGGTTTCATTGCCATTCATTGTAAGCTACAGGCGCCCGCACTGTCGATTCTGAAGGCCTGAGGGCAGATTTCTTTGACCCTGGCAACGCATGATGGCTGAAATATGATTGGATAAAAGCGCTAAAATAAACATACACTACTGGAAGCAGCGCAACCAAGAGAAAAGCTATAAAATTAAGAGAATGAACTATTGGGAATAATTTAATACTCATTCATGGAAAAAATATATTAAAGTGCAAGTCAGTGATTCTGATAGTGTTTAGGCCAGCAGAGAAGGCCTTGCTGGCCCTGACGGCCCACCACTGATATATATAGTATATTTATATATATATATTTAAATATTTGTAATTTATATTTTTTCATTATTATATATATACACACACACTAGGGGTGACCCCGAATAGTCGAAGATTCGATGCTTCGATAGGAGGAGCCTGATTCGACTACCAATCACACGGTCGAATCTTCGCAGATGTGTTATTAAACGAGGATTATGACATTTTGGCTATATGAGTGTGCTCAATGTCTGATTTCACATAGAACTACTGGTTTTCTGTCAATACGTTAATATACAGCCTATTATGATAATGCTGTCAATAAAAATGTGCAAAGAAAGAAGCTTTTAATAAATATTTTGTAACGTGCGTGCAGCGTGAATAAATCCAAACACCCCGTGACAGATTTAAGTTTCACTTTCGATCCGTGACCGACAGAGGAGCATCTTGTCGGCAGGATTTAAATCTTTAAAAATGTCTGGGATAAGAAAATCTAAAGATGCACACCATCAGAAAGGATATTCTCCAAGGCTGGATTTTCATTTTCATCAGGAAAACCATGATCGCACTTCTGCCGGCCAACGTTAACAGGTTTTCCTCGGGACGTTCTAAAATGCTTAACATGAAAAAAGCTTTTAAAACGCTTAAATGGCACTTTTACGTGCTTAATGTATGTATACAGTAGGCTACACACCTTAAGAAACCATTCTATGTGCAGATAAGCAGATGAACCCAGAATATGAACGCAACGCGTTTCTCCTATAGAAAGTCACGTAGGCCTAAAGCTTTTTCTTTAACGGTTTTCTATGGGAGGAAAATGCTTAACGTAGCCTATAATAAAACGCGCTGCGTTCATATTCTGGCCTCATCTGCTTTTCTGTTGGCTATATAGTATGCTTTATTAATAAGGTGTGTACAGAATTTGATCTTTTAATATAACAGTTTTAGGACAAAGCCGTTAAGCGTTTTTCACGTTAAGCGTAGAATGTATTTTATCCGCGCACACAATTTGAAAAGACTCAAACGGACACAGGCCGAGTGAAAGACTGGGTTTTGTTTTTTTCGATCAGGTATGGGTACAAGTGATTTCAAAACATTTCTAAATTATTCTAACATTTCTAAATTCTACGCCCCTGCTGTGAACATGTTTAGCTAAAAAGACTGCCGCTCCAGTTTAGCGTTTATTGTTGTTTCTGCAGTTAAAAAGACAAAGTTGACAATCCTGGCCATACTTTCGTTATTTTAATAATTTCTTTATTTTTATTTTATTAATTGATCACTCAGGGTGATCTAATTTAACTATTTGTGACTTGTGTTTTGAATATTTGTTCCCCTGCACTTTAGGCATTTTGCACACATTTGTTCTGCTTCTTGTGACTTGATTCTGACTTATTTCGTTTTGTATTTTTATTTATTATAAATGTATATTGTGTTCTTAATTGTTGATTATTTTTCAGTGCATCGATGTTGCGCTGTAGGCCTACTTAGAGCATGCTCATACAGGCAATTCAGCCGATTTAATTTGCATGTGAAATGCAAATCCTATCTGCAGTGTGGCCTTTCTGCAGTTATTTACCGGTATGTTATTTCTTAGTTTTATTGATCCAAAATCTTTTTATACATTTTCTTCTATATCTTTGTGTGATGTTCTGTACATCGCGGCTTTAAAATGTTAAAGCCCCGCCCCCTCCCCAACACCACACACATGATTCGACTATTAGTCGACTATAGGCATGACTTGACGAATCTGATTCGACTATGAAAATCCTTAGTCGGGGACACCCCTAACACACACACACACACAAATATAATATTAAAATATAAAATTATGTATTAAATTATTTTAAATAAAATACTATATATACACACATATATATTATATATACACATTTTATACGCACTTGCACTGTGATTCATATCAAATCTGACGACATGTACACATTTATAATATGGTTTGTTGAAAATACGCGTAAAACAGAGTTAGGCTAATGTATGTTTCAGTCGATGGATACGCATTCTGGCTTCTCCCAAACTTTGTTCAATGCGAGTGGCGTATGCTCTAATATGACCAAGCTAAACCTTTATAAGACCTTAATAAAAACCTATTGAACCCTGAGTGACAGTGGACCGTTTGTATTTCACCAACAGACCAGCCACACACACACACACACACACACACACACACCTGTTTTCTGGAGCGCAAAGCTGCCTCCTCCAGAGTCTCTGCAGCCTCAAACTTGCCCTGTCTCTTGTAGAGAGCGCCAAGATTCTTCAGTGTGGTTGTCACAGTGGGGCTGCAGGCGGCAGAAGTCGAACAGGAAAACATTTCATTGTGATGCTGCAGAAGTAAGACTGTAAAATCTTGAGGCTAAGCAAATTGTGTATACTTGTATCAATGCATGCAGCAGATGAGGGAATATCTGACCTGTCTACTTTACAGGCCTTGTACCAGCCACCATACTCTCCAAACGGAGAGCCATCCTTCTGCTTTCCCTGAAACACAGAAAGCATTTAGAAACAAGCTCTCAAAAACACTGAAAGTACCATCTGGACAGTGCTGATATTCAACATTAAAGCATACTGTAGTATAAACATTACTCTCGTCCTGTGACCCTTGACCTGTTCTCACCTTGCTCTGTTCTTCTCTCTCCTCTGCATGCATCCAGATGGGTTTATTTTCATCTGCAGGGGGAAACAAAGGACATAAAAACAACATCACTGTAAGCCCAAACACACAGACACACACATGCCTAGCTATTAAGTTCAATATAATGAGTGATGGTGTTTCTAGTGCCTGAGGTGACTAGTGAGCTCACTGACAGAAACAGTGGGAGCTTTTAGCTTACAAATGAGCTCTTGGTTAGAGCTTTACAATTAATCAACATGTCTTCCTGCCAGTGTGTGTGTGTGTGTGTGAGAGAGAAAGAGCATGTAAGAGAAGTAAAGAAGATGCATAAACCGTTAAGTGCATAAACCACCAAGACTAGTCTTACAAGTTAGTCATCACATTTTTTTTTTTTTTTTAGACAACTTTTTTAAGTCAGTTACATAAAAACGTAGATTGGCCTAATTTGATACCGAAAAGTAAGACTAACTGCCCCTTGACTAACTGCTAGTGGGTCATACTAGTTCTTAAGACACTGTGTGGCTATGGCTATGTTTATGCAACTGGCCCCAGAACTAGAGTAACAAAAAGGTGATTGAAAGTGTGTGTGCATGTGACTCCAAATGTGTGCAACCATTAGGACTGGATGATATAAATATTATCTTGATATATTTCAGACACTGACATTTATCAATACATCTCAGAGCAACATTTACCAATATTTACACACATTTCTAATTAAAATATTTTAATACATACTACTGTTCATAAGTTTGAGGTCAGTAAGTAAGGATGTATTAAATTGATCAAAAGTGACAGTAAAAAACATGTATAATCTTTCAAAATATCTGTAAAATAAATCTGCCAAATATTGCCATTTTCACAAAGAGGATTCATTTTATATCGCCAGAAAAATCATAAATATATAATGAATAAATAACATATCCTTTAGCCCTAAGGAGCTTGTTAAGCTTCACTTTGAATTCTGCATAATTCCAGTGTGGTAAGCTGTGTCGCTGCTGCTGACTGTATAAAACATGCCTAGAAAGTTTGTGAGGTTTATTTTTAAGTAGAATAGTGTCGAGCAAATTTTAATATTCCATAGAGAACAATGCAAAAAGATATTAATGCTTGGGTCGGGAAAAAACACATACCATCTACAGAGCCAAATTCTCTCTCATGGGCTCTGGTCAGGATCTCCTTATATAGAGTCTCGGCCTGCTTAAATTTCCCCTGTTTCAGGTAGCATGAAGCCTGAGAAAGAGAGAGAAATGGGTCAGAAACAGGGTTTGTATCAATTTTCTACATTACATTTGACCAAGTATGTTTATTGACTATATTATGTGCAGGAAAAAAGTTAGACCCTACAATACTATAAATACACTAATTTATTTATACATACATCGACCTTTGGTGCTTGATTGCAATTTGATCAATAATTGTCTGATAAATATCAATGGCTGATATACAGTGCATCGTATCATAGCTGCCATAAACCCTAAACAACTTCTGCTGAATACGGAGCCTCTAAGGGGACATGGTGATGGAAAAAATAAATTTCAATCCATTTGCGCTAACTCGCTAAAGTTTTGCAATCCCCTGAGAAACTTTGCGTTCGTTCGTAAGACCTTTGCCTTCCCTTGCAAAACTTTCACATTCCCAAGAGAAACTTTGTGTTCACTCTCAAAACTAGGGCTGCCCCCTAATAGTCAACTAAACGCTAGTCAACCAAAATTTATATTAGTCGGTTAGTCGCAAGAAAACAAAACTCCACAGGAAGTGGCAAAGTAACGCAGATCATGAGGGAAAGATCGTTCTTGTGGTAATTACAGTATGTCAGGCAGGAAATCCAAACGTTCGCATATCATCCATCGACCTCAAATATGCCTTATCATTTGAAACATGCAAGTAAGTAGTAGCAACTTTACTTGGTCGCTTGCTCTAACGTTAACCTAGTTAAATGTGCACTATTATTAGGCGCATATCCAAGCGTTTCTGCGGAGTGCGGAAGCTAAAGTATAGCGCGCTTACAGCATGACATGGAGGCGCCGGCGAGATCACTTGCATTTTTTTATTTGATAACAGCGGATATAACTTAAAATACTGTTTTTGGTCACACAGATAAAAGTAATACATCAATTCGAAACTGTAAAAAAAACTTTTATTTGTGTAAACTCACAATAACAATAAAACGTTGGGCTTTCTCTGTGCCGTCTCTGTCTCCGTGAACTTGAGCGCGTCACAAAAATAAACCTAAACTCAGTGCTTTGCACTCAAAACCTTTGCATTCCCCAGATAAACTTTTGTGTTCTTTGAGAGGGAACACAAAGTTTCACGGGGAAACGCAAAACTTTTGTGAGAAAACGCATAAGCACTGACATATCATTTTTCCTCCCATCTCATATTTTTTTCCTTCACCATGTCCCTTTGGGGGCTCCGTAGCTTAAAGATGTTTCAGTCTGAGCACGACTATACACTCTAAAAGCTTCTTCCATTACACTGAAAGCAGAATGAGCCATATCTCATGTGTATAATTTGCTGAGACTACAGAAATCCTGCAGTATAAACACTGCAGACACCACACCATATGGATAAATGTATTAATGTTAATCAAAAAGACCGACCAGACAGAAGATAATTTTTCAAAATGAATCAGTGTTATTCTAATGGGATATTCGATTGCAAAGTTAATCCATTATGTATTTATGACAAATGGAGGTTTTGATTTTCTCTAAACATACTCAGAAATGCATAACTCCACAAATGGAGGTCTGTTTGCTAGTTAAATGAATGGGGAGTGTGAATTGTGAGTGTGTTTGTACCAGGTTGTTTTTGGTCTTGGCCACATTGGGGTCGTCAGGGCCCAGTTTGGTCTGGTAGATCTCCAGGGCTCTCTGGTAGTAGTACTCCACCTCTTCATACTTGCCTTGGTTCTGACACAGCAAGGCCAGATTATTCAGCTGCTTAGCAACATCAGGGTGGTCCTTCCCCAGCACCTGACACACAAACACAAACATAGCTCATGTTATTCAGCTGCCTTATCTGTGTTACTCTGATTGTAGTAGTATACAACCACCTACAGAGAGGGGATGACCTGGTTATTCATCTTAATGATTACTATGGTGGCTGTAGGAATGGTCCCAATTACCAGTTCAAATAGCCCCGTTTTATAGACGTTTACACAGAACACATTAGGGGCTTTCACACCATTAGTTCTTGGGTTCCCCAAGAACTAATGGCTCCCTTAGGAACGTTTTCCTGTAGGAACTCTGAAGTGATGTAAGCCGCGGTTGTTGTTGTGGCTTTTATTTTGATGGCACGGCTAACCTTTATTTTGACGGCACTAAGAACGCCAGCCAGGGCTTGAGCATATAGTGCTCACATTCTCCGTGTTCATTAGTTTATGATCGGTCTAACAGTCCGTTATACTTTATTATAATACGTATATATAATACGTTATTAGATAGAACTGTTATACATAGAAAGTAGACAGTATATGAAAAGGTATAAGCGTATGCCATGTGGTTGATGTCTAGTGTTGCTAGCTGAGCAGAAATACAATAATGTTTCGCTTGGTTCCCTCAAAGTTGCGTTGGATTTTCTCCTTAGCATAAAGGTTAAGAGGACCATCTATCACTGTTTTCCATGTTCGAAGAGTTAGTTTCTGGAGTAAATATATAGGCTCAAATCTGTGTGTTTACATAGCTTTTTGAAAAATGGCGGGTGCTGGTGTTTCACGTGCATTCGGCCAATCAGCGTACACTAACGTCACTGATAATTCCTATAGTGCTGGTTTAGACCCTACTCTGAAGTAGGAAATAAATTAGTTCCTCCAAAAGGAGTCCCTAGAACTAAAATCGTTCCTAGTTCTGCAAACACGCCAAAATCCGGGTACTTCCGCCAATAGTTCTAGGAACTATGAAAAGGTTCCTCCGGTGCGAAAGCCCCTATTTTTGCAGTCCACTGCGCTGCTTTTCCATTATTTTTCTATGTGAACATGAGAGTGTTTGACATTGTATTCACACTTTTTGCAATGTCTTGCACATGGCATGGGGTTCTAAAATGCGGCGCTCAAGTAAAAAGAAGTTCAACTTTAAAACGCATCTGGGGCCATTCACACAGAACGCGTTTTAGTGGTTAAAACAGGTCAGTGTAACTGCAAAAATGGCAAGTTATAGAAATGCATTTTTTAAAGTGTAACTTCTTTTAACTGGAGTGCTATTAGAATGCAGTGTAAGACATGAGATTCTGCAAAAAATGTGAGACACGAGCGCAATGCTCAAACACGTTTACAAAGAAAAACAATGGAAATGCAGGGCAGTGAAATGCAAAAACACATTCTGTGTGACCAGACCCTTTCTAAAGCGTGCACATTTTTTCCACTTCCACTTTTTCCCCAATGCCCGGTGTCTCACGTTTTTGCATTCCACTGTGCTCCTAGTCCTTTTACATTGTTATTCTATGTAAGCATGATGGATGTGTTTGAACGTCGGCGCAACAACAATTTTTCGACAGTAAACTAATGCCTCGCTCTATTTTTGATGTGCTTCAAGCACTCGCGCAACTTTTGACACAAAGGACAAATGAGTTTGCAATGTTTGCTTTGTCGCCTCTAGACAGCCCTCGGATTCATCAACAGTACAATTGTGGGTAATTAAGAAACCACAGTGTGTCAAAATATTAACTTCTGACAGTATGGAGCTGAACAAGTTAAGAGACTTAGAGACTTCACATCACAAAGACAAAGAGAAGCCAATTAAAGTTGAGAAGTTGTAGTACTGTATTAATTATAATGTTTCAAATAAATACAAGCAAGGTCATGTCTGAGAGTGTCTTAATATTTCTATTAAAAAAAAAGGCCCGGCAGAAAAAGTTTAGGAACCAGAGATTTACATATTGCATGCCAGTCTGAAAAACAGATTTTATTTTTTTAAGAGTGATTTGAGCAAAAGCAGCATTTATTATACTAATGTTATTAGATTTTACTGCTGATTTGGGGCTGATAGGGGCAGTTGTGACCTAAGAATCGGACTTATTACCCAAAGGTCGCGGGTTCGATACTCAATACCGCCAGAAAACGTGTGACATTGAGCAAGGCATCAAACCCCCAATTGCTCCCCAGGCACCACAGCAAAAATTAAAGCCCACTGCTACGGGTGTGTGTGTCCACAGTTTGCAGTGTGTGTGTGTTTTCACTACTCGCTGCTCTTATTGTGCGTTCACTAACTTGGATGTGTTAAATGCAGAGGACAACTTCCAAATATGGGTTACCATACTTGGGCTTCACTTCAGTTCACCTTCACCAAATATGTTTGAAATTTAATTATTCCTGATTTCATTCTAACTTAAGCTGTCTCCATCTCGGTTTATAAAACACAGGCCTTAAGGGGGATTTTATTGATTAATTACAATGAGCATCTCTGCTTATCTCTCTACCTCTCTGTTGTTGTTAGGCTCGTGTTGAGAGATATTGACTGTCCACAGGGAAGGGCTCTGTGACCAATGTGATTCAATGTTTTTTGAAGTTGAAAGAAAACCTTTGCCAACTGGTTCCGCTTGTTCCCTCGAAATTTTCCTATGGGGTTTTTCAATTTATGAGTAAAATAAAGACTGTGGTAAACAACTCAATGATACTTTGAAGTTCACACACTCACATCACATCCCAATCCATCTCATCTTATTATTAAAAACCTACCTTTTCAAAAATGAACATAACTGATTCAAAATTCACGCTTTCAATATGGGTTTGTGTAATTTTGGGATTGTTGTAGACCAAAACGACAAAGTATTGTCAAGTTATGTTTACCACAGGCTTTATTTTATACATAAATCGAAACTCCCATAGGAAACTCTCAAAGAAACTAGCGGCGAATTAGTCTTGCTGGTTCTGATGTCATACATGCACTACTCTATAGATACCATGTGCTTCAGTTATTCTACCATGGTGATTAAAACACCCTAAAAGGCTTTTATAAAACAGTGGCAACAGCAATCCTATAAAAGAAAAATGATCAATAGCATCTTATAAAACAAACTTATCTAATATATAAACAATTGATAAACTACATTGTGATATATACCATTATATGTACACTACCATTCAAAACTTTGCTGTCTGTAAATATTTTTTAAATTTTATATAAAAGTCTCTGATGTTCACCAAGGCTGCATTCATTAGACCAAAAATACAGTAACAACAGTAATATTGTGAAATGTTATAAATATTTTGCAGATGAATTTGCAGCATCATTACTCCAGTCTTCAGTGTCACATGATCCTTCAGAAATCATTCTTATATGCTGATTTGCTGCTCAAGAAACATTTCATATTTTCATCAGTGTTGAAAACGGTTGCACTGCTTTTTTTTGTGGAAACCATGGTAAAAAAAAAAAATCAGGATTCTTTGATGAATAGAAAGTTCAAAAGAACAGCATTTATTAGGAATAGAATTCTTTTATAATATTATAAATGTTTTCCGTCACTTTTGATCAATTTAATGCATCCTTGCTGATTAAAAGCATTTATTTCTTTGAATGCCAATGTAAGAATTTGGTCATGCCGCAATAGAAAGGAAAATATGAAATGTCTGCAGAAGTTAAGCGATGAGATTTTGAATTCAGCAGGTTGTCTAAGCTCTTTCTCTCAGCTCTGCATGTGTGAGACGCAGCACTCTGAGTAAGACTCTCAAGACTTGCAGTAAGAGCTTTATCACACAGGCTTAGAAGAACTCTGTCCATAAAGAGATCAAAATAAATCTGTGACGCAGCGGGAGGGAATGGGAATAGAGTGTCTAAGAAGCACAACATTTTCATCTGTGTGTGCGGCTGCTGCAGGTGTTTTATTCTGCAATGTGGTATTTTTGGATAAGGGGAGAAGAAAAAAAAATGCGCACAGAGAACTACAGAAGAGCAATATCACAATTAAACTCCAAGTAGAAGAAAATAGTAAGTCCTAAATGGTAAACTGAAACAGCAAATTCATTTCAAAAGGAATAGGACAAACGTATACATGTCCTATTCGGTAAGAAAGGTGTCGGTCTTCCTGATGTATTGTAAGATCTCTAAAAAAAAGAGGCATGAGTGTGAAATGACTGGAAAAGTTTTAGGAGGTTTAGGAGGAATGTTGAAGTAGCAGTAGAAATAGTATTAAACCCCAAGAAAAGAAATAGGGTTTCAGAAGATAAATGTTTCATGAGTCTTTTCACATCTCTCCTGAGCTTCCAAGAATGGATGCTTTATTCTTAAGTCTTTGAAACACACAGGGATGAATGGAGAGGGAGAGAAAGGTGAATGTGAGTTATGTTTTGAGATGCAAAACCGGTAGGGAAAGAATTTACTATGAAGTCAAACACAGGATTCATTTATTTGACCTCTGACCCACCTTCTCTCGGATCTCCAGAGCCCTTTTACACAGAGGTTCTGCTTCCTTGTACTTCCCTCGTTTGCCATAAAGAACGGCCAGGTTGTTCAGAGTGGCAGCCACCTGCATACACAGGAAAAAAAATACACATTATATTTACATACAGAGATAGATTTCAAACTCATTCAACCAATCAATGATTCTGAATTGGTGCAATCATTTATATACAATTAGTCATGTCATCTTACGGAAAATGATTACTTGCTGGAAATCCGATCAAGGTCAAATTTTCCTAGTGTGGGTAGACTAACACACATACACCCTGTGCATTGTGACAGATGAGCTCTGATCAACCTTTGATTAAGATATACTTCAGTGCATGTGAGACACATACGTGTGTGATAGACGGCAAGAGTGACAAGAAAAAGAAAAAGGGAAAGGGCAAATTTAATTTTTTTGACCTTGTGACAATATTAGATATTTATATTATATTCATATCTCCAGATTTACATATTTATTCTGAAATTGTGTTTAAAAAGGGTTGCTTTTTCAATCAGAGGAACCCTTATTTAATCAAAAAGCCATTGTAACCAAATACTAGATTGAAACGGTTTAATAAAAGCACTAAAACAAAGTAAAAAATAAATTAAATAACCAGGGCATGTTTTTTTCTGCACTGTTTATTATGAATTAACACCATGAATAATATTTAATCATAATGTTTACACAACTTATATTTTATATAATCAAAATATTGCATATGATATATACGATATATATATATATATATATATATGCAGACATTTTTGTGTGATGATGCAAACAAATAATACATCCAAGTTTTTAATCTGTTCACTGATACAAAAATTTTGAACTGATATTAATTCACAGATATGAATCAAATCGGCCGATTCTAACAGCAAGTTTAAATCAGAGATGGCAAATATTTAAGTAATAAAAAATTGTTGTTAACGCACTAGCAAGTTGTGAGACAAGGAAGGATTGTGAAACCAGTCAAAAAAGTGCATTCAAATCATTATGATATTCACAATGTTGTTTAATTAATTTCATATCGCCCAGAAAATCATCACAAATATATTGTGAATATTCAGTATATCATCCAGTTTTAGGAAACAGCCAGCTAGAAGATAAAGAATGAAACAGAGGACAGATCTATAAGAGGTGTTAAAGCATCTAACCTCTGCAGAGAATTGTGGGACGCTGGTCCTGATGAGAGGGCAAGACGTGAGCTTCACATGACAGACTCAATAAACTTCAGCAGTCTGTGCCGCTTATTTCAATACACACACACAATATACTGGCACACAGCACAGACAGACTGTAATGTGGAGAGCAGACAGATGAGGGCAGGACCGGTTCTTACCGCAGGGTGGTCTTTGCCCAGGGTCTTCTCTCTGATGGCCAATGCATCGTTAAGGAGGTTTGCTGCCTCTTTGTATTTATTCTGGTCCCTGGAGAGCAGAAAACACTTTCACATCAATCTATTGCGACTCGTTGTGCAACAAAGGGCTGTTGCAAAGGTCTCTCTCACAAAAAGCTGTTTCCATGGCAACAGGGTGATGGCACAATAGCCTAATATCCTAACGGCTTGCGAGCCGGATATTACCATCGTTTACAACAATGGAGAAGGAGGTTCTCAGCCCATTTGTTTAAAGCACTGGTTGATACCATACTGCGGTTTAAGATTAACTAGGCAATTTTCCCACTTAAAGCACTGCTGCATATTAAGTTGTGATAGAAGAAAGTATTTTAACATGAAACAAAACATGAATTACTTTTGAATGACACTTACACTACAGTTCAAAAGTTTTTTTTTTTTTTTTACGTTTTAAACTCACCAAGGCTGAGTTTATTTGAACGAAAACACAGTAAAAACAGTAATATTGTGAAATGTTATTACAAATTAAAATGCTTTCTATTTTAATATATTTTAAAATGGAATTTATTCCTGTGATGCAAAGCTGAATTTCCAGCATCATTACTCCAGTCTCGTGTCACATGATCCTTCAGAAATCATTCTAATATGCTGATTTGCTGCTCAAGAAGCATTTCTTATTATCAACAATGTTGAAAACAGTCGTGCTGCTTAATATTTTTGTGGAAACCATGATGTATTTTTTCATGATTCTTTGATTAATACAAAATTCAAAAACAGCAATTATTTGAAATAGATTAAATGAATGCATCCTTCCTGAATAAAAGTATGATTTTTTCAAAAAGAAAATACTGAGCCCAAACTTTGGAAAGGTAGTCTACATAAATGACCATGCTTAAAATTGTACATTAAAGTCTTCTCTTTGCTGACCTGTAAACGAGGGCGAGAATGTTCAGCATGGTGGCTACATCCGGATGATCGTGTCCAGATGTTTTCTCTAGATCCTCCAGAGCCTGTTTGCAGAGAGGAACGGCCACCTCATACCTGCCCTGTGAGGCGTACTGGATCACCAGGTTGTGGAGGGTTCGGAGACGAGCGGGGATCTCGTAACCGCCCTGCTGCGCTGCTGCCACTGCACTGCTGTGAGGAGGCTGGACTAGTGAAAACAAAATTCAGAAAACGTTGTAAAAATCTTTACAAATATCTGCTGTCTATAGCTATGTTCCAAAAATACCTAGTGAGCTGCCTACCTAGACAGCATTTGTAAGCATAACAGACCCAAAACTAATCACAGTAGGTGGCAATATTAAAATGCTCACTGCCATTCACAAATCCTCTCCTGTGGCCTCATGGGATATTAAAGTGTCTATCAAATGCGCACTCGAGAATCTCGGCAGAAGTAGTAGGTCATCCAGAGACTTTTCGCCAACTGTTTTATTCGGACATACTACTCTTTTGCCGTACTGTTTTTCAAATACTATACAGTAGGGAAGTATTCGATTTCAGATGCAGTGATTCTTTTGGTCTTTGTGAATAAGGAAATACCGGTACCAGAATGCACAGTGACAAGCTCAGTGAAAATGTTGGGTGGAGTTGAAAGTCAATATAATACATTTAACATTACAAAGATTAATAAAAATAGCGGTAACACTTTTTGACAGTGTCCTTGTTAAATATGTACTTACTGTAGTAATAATGATAAATTATGCATAATTACATGCAACTAACCCTAAACCAAACCCTAAAACGAACCCTATAGTAAGTACATATTGTTAATTAATTTTACTCGGTACTTAAATGTATGATAACACTGCATTAAGTACACCTTTAAATAAAGTGTAACCAAAATAGGTGTGATTCAAATCTCTACAATGTACTTACTTCAAAAACAAATAATTGTTAGGTACAATATACTTATTGTCTTCATGTTGTATTGCCAAAACACTTCTGCTGCTATTGAGGTGAGATACGGGTAAGATTAGAGAGAGGTTTAGTGGTATGGTTGTATCGAATTTGAATATTTGAAGGACCCGGCAGTATTTCTGCTGTAGTTATGACAAAGCAGCTTGTTTTCAAACTATTTTATTAACAGAAACTGGGAGTGCCGATATTAAAATTAACCTTGATTCAGTTTAAAAAACTGTACATTGTACAATAAAAACAATAGTTACTGAGCGGGAAAAAAGAAATGTGATTCCAGTTTAAATCTTGATTTTGCATATAAATAATGCAATTAAATGAATCTTTTTTTTTTTTTTTATCATTGATTAATAATTAAATACTTTTAAGTCATCTTGAGCCTCAGCTTAAATTTGCTAGACTATTGGAATCAGCATTGGATCTCACGAGTGGTCATTAACTGATCAGTCACTTTTATGATTTCATTTCAGAAGCTGCCTATGTAAATGGAAGCACACAGTTCACTAGGTTTTTCCTGGAACAAAGCCTATATGTTTGAGTTAAGATGGTCAATTATCAGAAGTCAACATGTAGCTTTCCCCCTAAAAGTAGAAAAACATGAACCGAGACCCCAGAAAGCACTTCTTCTTAAGACTGTCACATTCAGGCACAAGATCTAAGAGAGCATATTTTCCGATTAGAAACATGCCTCAGACTTAACAAGACAAAAACAAACTTTAAATTAGCCAACTCAAATAAACTAAGAATTAATCAAAAAGATGGCAGAGCAAAATGACAGTGAAAGGATTACATCCCCACTACTTCAGGAATGAGGAGGAGAGATTAATGCGATCTTTCTTAGAGCAGATTAATGTCGGTCTCTTTGAAAAAGCCTGCTGGAGATCACTTGCTGTAGGGATGCAACACTGACAGTCAAACAGCCGTTTGGCATGCATGTGTCAGAATGAGGCCTAATCTGAGCACGGCAGTGTCAGCCTGCGACAGTGTCAGCCTGCGACAGTGTCAGGCTTTAATTAAACTCCCGTGAGCTGTTGCGCACTCTGACACATGTCCCGGGCTGCCCTTTGATCCTCCTCCACAGTCAATGAGGCCATTATCAGGCAGGACAACAGAGAAAGTGGAAGGGCGGAAAGAAAATGCAAGACGGGAAACTGTTTAGCAGAAAATACGGGAAGGAAGAACTGTGGTTCTCTTCTCTTCCCCCAACAATACACTGCTCCTTTTAAGTCTTTCAGAATTGACACTTTTTACATTTTTATTTTGCTAAAAAATACAGTGGTAAAATATTTTGATTCAAAAAGAGTAAGCAGAGCATGATTTTAATATTTTTGAGCTTGTAAGCGAATTATATGAAATTTTTGTATCTTCATTTTCATATTCCGGTTGTACCGCGGTACAGTGATGGTATCAGATGGTAATACCACCCAACGGTGAAGTACAGTGGGGTACAAAATACTGAGTACCACATTGAAAATCTTGGAATTTAAACCTGGAAATAAATTGAAAATGTATTTATATTTATACAAATATAAACAAAGATATATTCAGTATATACTACCGTTCAAATGTTTGAGGTCAGTAAAAACATAAAATAATAATAATTAGACCTTTTATTCAGTAAAAGGACACATTGAATTGATCAAGAGTGACAGTAAAGGCATTTATTGTGTTACTAAATATTTATATTTCAAATAAAGATGAGCAACGTTTTTTTTTTAGCAGCAAATCAGCACATTAGAATGATTTTTGAAGGATCATTTGACTCTGAAGTCTAGAGTAATAGAAATTCAGCTTTGCCATCACAGGAACAAACTATATTTTAAAATAAATTAAAATAGAAAACAGTTATTTAAAACTGTAATAATATTTCATATTATGTTGTTTTTTACTGTATTGTTGATCAAGTAAATGCAGTTAAAAACATTCTTACCAACCCCAAGCCTTTGAACGGTAGTGTAAATATTTATTTAAATGTATTTTAAATATACTGATTATATTTAATTATAAATATATTTATAATTAGTAGATCACAATAAAATGTTATCAAATCTGTGACATAAAAAAAAAATCCAAAAGAATCCAAATTAGAAGTATTTCTACTAATGGCTTCTGACTTTTAGACCACAACTGTATACAATAAGCCTGAATGGTTCCCCCATTCTTATATCATGGTGTTTCTTCTCTGTGCCCAGGTCAGAGGTCAGATATCCAAAGCTGAGTGCTACTGGGGTACTTACTGCCAGGACCCGGTTCATCCTGATCATCTGGGAAAAGGTCATCCAGTGTCTCCCTACTGGAATCAGAGTCCTTATCATCCTGATGAGAGTGAGATGTAAAGAGGTGGAGAGAAGTACAGAGTGAGACCAAAGAAAGAATGACACCGAGATAAAGGCTCTGTGGTAAATAAGACTAGGTCTCACTGATGGGCTGAGGTCCTGGTCGTATTTCTTGAGCTGGTTCATGAACTCCAGATGTTTCTTCTCCTCCTCCAGCTGGGCCACGCTCTGCTCGCTCTTCTGCAGCCGCTGCTGGGTTCCTGCCAGCTCATCCCTCAGCCACTGGTTCTCCTGACACAGCCTCCGCACCTGGAGAACAGGAAAAAATATGCTTTAGGGCATTTTCACACTAGAGCTTTTAAACTCATTTGCTGGAGCGAATAACACCATTGACAGCAGCCCTGTTTCAGGGAGTATTTTATCCTTTATTTTCCCCATAGTCATAAAAAAAATTTTTATTTTTTTTTTACATTTTATGATATTTCTTGGTAATTGTGTGTAATTTAGTTATTAACCAATTCAACAATTATTATTTCTTTTCAAAAATTAGATTAAAATCACATTGGCTTGTTGACGTTTGCTTCATGAACCTGACCGTGTGCACTCCACTGATTCGTTCTTTAGATATACACAAGTGCCATTACGTGTGTGGGGCAAAACCATTGTAAAGTGAACCATGCTTCCATTTTTTGCCATCTTCTCTTCCTGAACGGCTATCCTACTAATGTGGTAAACTGTTGTTAGTACTCACGCTGATGAAATAAACATACTACAATTTGGAGCCAAATAATACAATGTAAAATATATCAAATGGCAGTAGGGGGATGGAATTAAATTTAAGCTTGGACTTTGCAATCAAATCAAGTCTGGTATCCAGACCAATCCGCCAATGAACCTGAGAGCAGAGTTAAATTTTTGATGTGGTGCAGTGTGTGTCTATGTACCTGTGCTCGAAGCTTCTGTTTCTCAGCCTCCACTGCACTCAGGTGCCCTGACAGAGCCATCATCACCTGCGCCGATCGTTAAAAGAAAGACAGAGTAGCAATGGTGTTACAATGGTTACAAGTAGGGCTGCAACTAACGATTATTTTGATAATCGATTAATCGGACGATTATTTTTCCGATTAATCGGATACAAAATTCAATTAGATTTTTTGTTTATTATGACTAAATAAAACCCGGTAACACTTTATTTTAAGGTGTCCTTGTTACAGTGTAATTATAGATTTAAGTACAGAGTAATATTAAGTAACTACATGTACTTACTATAGGAATAGGGTAGGATTAGGTTGAGGGTTAGTTGCATGTAATTATGCATAATTTACTGTTATTACTACAGTAAGTACATGTAACATATGTAACAAGGACACCGTAAAATAAAGTGTTACCTAAAACCCTAAATTAGGATATTTATGTGTAAAAGTGTACTTTAAAAAGTGCAAAAGCCACACATTGAGTTTTACAAATATCAATATTTGCATTGTTTTTAATGATAATTGCTGATGGCAAGTTGACAACCATGATTAATGTAAAAAAAAAAAAAACCATTTATATCCAACATATTGTTTTAACACAATTTTTGTTAAAACAAATTTACAGACATGTTGTTCAGATGTGAAGATATAAACTAAAAACATCTAAAATATATAATTCATTTAATTTGTTTTTTAATTAATTGAATTATAAGGATAATTTGTAAAAATAAATATAGAAAGACTGAAAACAAGCGTGTGAACATAGAGCCGCAGTAGATCGCGTTTGAAAAACAATTAAAACTTAATAGTAGACAAATGCTATATAAAGAGAACGTAATGGAGGTACGCTGCAAGCTAACAGGCTTGATTAAAAGGACAGGAAAATGATGCATTAGTGCACAAACATTCGCTGAAAACCACTGAGTACAGTGACTAAAAAACAATATTTTACTACTGCTGTTATTAACTGCCTTTATATTTAGTGCTTCGCTTTGTAAAGACCGTTTTAATTTAATATTTCTGCGGTAGCACTATTTTAATCCATCACTTATGTTGCGAGCGAACTGATTGCGCAACCTGATGCTCGAGACGCAAAATACAGACATCCCAAGTCTCCCGGAAGTTCTGGGAGTCACCCGCATATTGATAGCGGCTCCCTGATGCTCGCAAATTAGTTCAAACTCCCGGGATTTGAGCGCGCAAGCAAGAGCGCGGATGCGAGACAGAAGAGACAGTGCTCCAAACCGTGTAGCGCGAGCGCGCGGCAGAGCAACGGAGGGAGAGAGACCTTGCGTGTGTGTGCGTGTGTGCCTCATGAAGCGCGTGTAAGACAGAGAGCATCCTGATTGGCCTGTTTCAACCAATCACCAGTAAACGCTCCCCGTGACGTAAGCAGACCAACTAATCGATAATGACATTCGTTGACAACGATTTTCATAATCGATTATTATCGATTTTATCGATTAGTTGTTGCAGCCCTAGTTACAAGCAAATTAATTCAAAAAGCATTCCCCATTTTATCCCACTTTGGAAGCATTTCCACACTGCACCTGTGCCTCGCTAAGGCCCAGCTCCAGCATTTCCATGGAGCGTTGAATCATGGCCGTCTTCTCCTCAACAGCACGACCCTCCTGGCTCTGTTTGAGGCAGCGCAAGGTCCCCATCAGCCCCTCCAGGATGACCTGATGTTCTGCACGGAGCGCCTCCAGCCCCTGCATGACCTCTCGTGTCCGACATAGCAGCTCGTCCTGGGACAGCTTCTCGTCGGGGTCCCCCTGCCCCTCCGTCTCCTTCACACACACCACGCTCGACATGTCCTCACGCATCCTACACAGAGATACACAATACAATATGAGAACAGAAGCCTGGAAACATTTCCTGTTAAGGACAGGGACGAGAGCCTGGGACATTTTACGTTGATGTCAGGGCTTGACAATAAGGACTGCCTGATGGCCCGGGGTCAGTGCAAACGTCGCTCGGGACAGTAGACGGTATTGTCACTTGCCAGATCGGGCCAGTGCTGCATCACGAAAGTTTATAATTTGCACATGTTTTTAAGCCTTGGCAGTTTAAATATTCAAGCAAAAGAAGACTCGAAAGAGAACTCAATTCAAACAAAACTTCTCACAGTATTGAATTGCGCTCTCTTTAACATCATCTTGCGCTTGAACGGACATATTCACACAAAATCACATTAAAAAAAATGCCGGTTTCGGCGAGTATCCCACATAGTCTGTTATATCTTAAGTGAATATAAACAGTTAAGAAATAAAACGCATGTGAGACAGTATATTGGATGCCTGCAGCTCTTTAAGTGACAGCAGCCTAATATTCCTTCTGCTGTCTTTGTTTTATTTTTTTTCTTCTTTGTTTGTTGTTTGATTAACATTAAATCACACCGCTCTTGACTGAATAACTTTTGTACGGTAAGTTTAATATGGATTAATCTACATTTAATGTATACAGTAAAGACCATTCAGTGCTATTTTACATTTGATTACTTATTTTCTCTACCTGAAAATTACTGGTAAACTTACCTGAAAACACAAAAGCAGTGTTTATTTTATTTGTATGTTTGTTCTATTGTATTTGTGCTATTGCTTGTAATTTGATTATTTGTTCTCACTTTATTACTGATACTCATCTTTAACAATATTTGAAATTTATACGAGTTAGGCTAGTAGTTTTTGGTGTCCCAACCTTATTAAGATTAAGGGTAAAAAACAACATTTTTTTTATTACTTATTTATTACTTTTTTTTGGTGGGGCCAGTGAAAATTTTGGCAGGGCAAGAAAAAATATTTAACCACTGGCTTAATCGGGCCACTAGAAAAAATCCTTAGCGCCGTGGAGTATGATTATGCTTATTTGCCACAGTCGGCCGCTGGTGGAGAAAATGCTGTATTTACTACATATAAAGCTCTTTCTGATTATGTGATGTTAGCCACCTGACAAAATAGCATTGTCTCTGAGGCATGGTACAAACATGTTATTCGTGGTAAGAAAATAAGAGATTCAAACAATAAGACTATCCGTGTTGAGCTATATAACAATGATTAGTTTTCTGTTGATAAAGGTATCCTGTCTAATGAAACATAATATATTAAAGCGTCTTAGGTGTTTCCATGGTTTCTATGGAAGTAAACAGGATAATCAAGGGTAGGTTTTAATCTAAAAATCTTACATATTGTGCCTTTAAGATGAGTGTGTAAAATTTAAATGAAAAGACACTGAAGGCAATTAAATGAGAGTTGTCTCTTGCTTGTTCTTGTGTCTTGAAACAAATAATTCAAGTCACTGTAAATTTGAAGTGGTGAAAATATTCCACAAATGTTCCAACATCTCTAGGCAGAAGAATGAATTCCCTACCAACTCCCATAAAACACCATGGGAACTGGAGCCAATATGAACTGTACATGGCAAACTGAACCATACATCCATACAGTTTTATTTGCTTTTAATCTAGATTCACTGAGGCAAACTTCCATGCTGTCTTCAACAACTTATGTAACAGGACTAGGAACCTATAGAACGGCTTGCGTGTAGTAAATCAGCTTAGACCACTTGCAAAGCTTTAAACAACGACCGTTTCACTTAACAGTATTCGAGTTGAGGCAATGGACATCAGCGAGAGCAAAATGTTAGCTCAGATTTAACCAATTAGTTGAGATGGACTACACAGATAACAAGGCAAAACACGCTACCACAATGTTATGGTGCTCTAGATGGTTGACAGGGCATTACTATGCAGTTTCTATGGGATTCTAAGACATTTTAAACATATTGCTGAGTGGCGAACAAACTGTTTTACTGACCCAACCCATGTCTCTATGATATTCTCTAGATATGTCTCAGATCCTTTTTTCAATGTAATATTCTTTTATGGGATTTTAAAGCAGACAGTATTCTTCCCTTAATCTCTTATCTGCATTAAGCCCAAAGTATACTTCAGCTTTGATGTGAACGCTTAGCATATGTGTGCAGCCTTTAAAAGTGTCTTAGATTTGATGCTCAAACACAGCCTCAACACATGCGCACTAGACAATTTCGACCTTGCTCAGTGTCTGCGCTATTTCTTTCCAGAAGTTATGACCAATAAAAATGGTCATTGCAGACATGTGCAAGTGATTTGAGCGCAAAAAAAAAGAAGCTCCACTAGAACGCACATGGCGAATGCATTCATGGTCAATAGAGTATACTTTGAAAGGCTTGCGCCGTGGAGATGGTCCTCACTGCAGAACACGAAATCCAGGGGGAGGAGTTGGATCCAGATCCAACTCCTCCCACCTTACATATACCTAAACCTACCCATCTCCGCCCCCTGATCCCTAACCCCACCCCTAATCCTACCCATCTCCACCCCCTGATCCCTAACCCCACCCCTAATCCTACCCATCTCCGCCCCCTGATCCCTAACCCCACCCCTAATCCTACCCATCTCCACCCCCTGATCCCTAACCCCACCCCTAATCCTACCCATCTCCGCCCCCTGATCCCTAACCCCACCCCTAATCCTACCCATCTCCGCCCCCTGATCCCTAACCCCACCCCTAATCCTACCCATCTCCACCCCTTAGATCTGGATCCAACTCCGCCCCCTGGAACGCGTGTACTGCAATGAGGTGCTACTGGCGCCGTGTGGAAAGTGGAAAATCAAGTTTACCCTGGACACATCAAGCCGACGGTCTGCCGTTGGCCCATGTCAGGCCATCATTGACCACACTTTTGGTGTCTGCCTAGTTTTCTTCTGCGTTCGTGACCGATCAGACAACCCCTCGGCAGCTTTTCAGCTGATTTTGCATTTTGAGACCGCCAGTGAGAGATATCACTCTGATTGGCTGTACAGCTTAGCGAAAAAGTTAACGAAAACAAATAAATCACAAAGTCAACAGGGCACACACAGTTGCTTTGTTTACGGATTATATATTCGCAGTCTTAACTCTTTCTGTTTCCCTTTTTGAATTACAAATACAGACTACTGCCACCTGTTGGTATGGAGAGTTCTTTGATGGGTTTGTTCAAAACACTAATCTTAAGTATGAGCCTTAGCAAACACTACTAACACGAAATTCTAAAATAAAATGAAAGGCACAAAGTAAGTTCACTCAGAGGTGCAATGACAACGCAAACCTTCTCCAAGAATTTGAGAGGCTCCTCACTCTTCCCAGCCTGCCACAGGGACACAAAGCAGCTGTCTTTGCAGTTGCCAAGACACAACTCACCTGGTAATGCAAATCACAGTTGCTAAGAGAGTAGGTGAGGCACGATAGCGTAAGAGCACTTGGAGTTGGGAAAACCAAAAGAGCAAGAAGAGAGAACCTGAGATTGTTGTCCTTTCAAACGCAATACGTCCAGACTATAGTGAAGATGTTGGGAAAACCCATTCATTAGAAATAAACACGTCTCCTCAGATTTCTTTTCTCTCATGAAAACAACAGTACAGTCTCCTCCCTGCAATGCTGATGTAAAGAGGAGGAGGGTCTACGTGCTGATTTTGAGCTTCGGGCCTGTGCTATATTCCTGTGGGAGGGGAAATAGGAAGTGAGACAGCGATTCATGTGACCCATAACGTAGCTCGTCATCTGGCATATGACAACCATTGGGCAGGAAAAACCAGTGCATGATGGGAATCAAAGTACTAATGAATCTGCTGCACAGACAAATCTCACAGTTCTTTTCCAACGGGGACCAACCACGAGACTCTCATCCAACCTAAAAGCAGCTGATATAACAATATTAGATATTAAATATTTCATTACTAATATTGACAAACATAATTACATTTAGGTATTACGAATATATCAGAGTGCAAGGCATTTTATTTAGTAGCATTGGAATGCAGCAATATTCATATTCTGGCTGTTACCAATAAAACGGGTTTTGGATTAGTAAGAGATTGCAGATATTAATTTTTTTAACTATTTTCTCTGAATAAATTAAGAATAAAACACTAAAAACTAAAATCTATTATTTTAAACTCTACAAGTGTACTGTATTTATATTTTATATGTATGGAAAAATTGACTTAAAAATAAAAAATAAATTTCAGGGTGTTAAATAAAGTTATTAGTAAAAATGGCAATTGTTAGTATTAGATTATGCACAAGTAATCTAAATATAAAAATTAGGGAAATGAGACTTTGCAGTATCAACAGATGCTGATTTAAAAAAAAAAAAATACAATACTGGCAGATAACTGATATAGTACCAATGGTATGCATGCATGCAATGGGATGGTATGCATCCCTACTTTTCCACAAAAAAAAACTTAACTAATTTAATCAACTTTTGCCTTACAGGTTAATTTAAAGGGATAGTTCACCCACAAAAATACATTTTGTCATAATTTACTACTCACCCTCAAGTCTATATGAGTTTCTTTCGTCAGTTGAACACAAAAGAAGATATTTTGAAGAATGTTGTGAACCAGACAGTTTTTCATTTTCACTATCCCTTTAACTTAACATGAAAACTGACTCCATATATTACTCTTTGCAAATAAACCTAGACACTCTCCTTGTTTTCGTCCTATTCGTCCTATGATCTCCATGATTTGTGTTTTCAGATGCATTAAAGAACCAAAAGGTAGCAGAAAGACAGAGGAAGGGCACAGGACAGGTAATCAAATACACGACAGGGACCGAGATGCAAATTTCATGCTGCTGTTTGAAGTGCAAATGTGTGTTTCGGTGTTTTGTGCTGGGGTTATGCAATCCCTGTTCTGCAAAGCACACAAAAAACAAAACAAATCATAAGGTAACAGATAATCTAATCAGCTTTCAGTAATACTAACGGCACATAAAGGACACAAAGAAGACCGGGAAAGC